GCTACCAGATCCCTCACCAGTTTCTCGAACTTGATTTGCTGTGCTTTCGCCAATTCGTAGAAGACGGCAAAATAGTCGATTTGGTCTCATCTACCCACCAAACCAATTTCGCCCCGCAGCAGGCAAACACCGACTCGTTCTCGCCGACGACTACTGCCCGGTACCCAAGGACAGGCACAACCGATGCACCGACTGCCTCGCCGCTATATCGAAACTCCCACTCTCTTTGGACCAGACAACTCTACATGCAAGTGTGGCACCATCGACCACTGCGCCGACAGCAAGAAATGCATTTTCTGGAAAAAAGCGATAGACTACACAACCAAGGAACGACTCAACTCAAGGTTCCGGAAGAAATCGGGATCCCCTACTGTCTCTCGAACATGACAACCTGTATGACAACGACTGCCTCTCATGATGCCTCCTCGACAAATTGGCGGACAATTGTTCATGCGAGAAATATTCCTGTTTATTCCGGCAGCAATTGGGAAAAGCAGAGCTACAGGGACAGAGCAATATTTGCCATACCCCCTTGACAAATACGGCGGGTCCAAGGATATATAGGTTGCAGCCCCTCCGCACAATGAACACCGAAAAGCCGCAGACGTTCCGGTAGGAATCTACACGTGCATAAAGTTTGCCGTAGCGAAATACGAAGGGAAAAACCGACTGTTGCTGCTACTCGATTCAAAAAGGAACTTCCACACACATCCTAAAGAGTCTAAAAGAGTGAGTGAGTGAGTGAGTTTGGTTTTACGCCGCTTTTAGCAATATTCCAGCAATATCACGGCGGGGGACACTAGAAATGAGCTTCACACATTGTGCCCATGTGGGGAATCGAACCCGGGTCTTCGGCGTGACGAGCGAACGCTTTAACCACTAGGCTACCCCACCGTTTGTAGGAGTAGTCTTAACAAATGGGGGGTGTGTTGTTGTTGTTTTTTTTGGGGGGGACAGAAAGGAAGAATGGATTTTTCCTACGGCATTTGTTCCATATGGAGCTAGAGATGTTTTGACCAGTTCAAATGAAAGTGGAAGGTTGGTGACGGAGTGCTATAGCCTCAAAACGCGTGTTCCATGTGGAACAAATCCTGTGGCTTTCAAGAATCAATCATCATGTGTGAAAGTTCCTTAAAAAAGGACTAAATACAGTATTGTTGAGATTGGCATCATTTGTCTTTATTTTGGAGATTGGTTTCATCTTATCTGACTGCATACATGTGTAGTTAAACCTAATGAAAATACTCATAAATGCTACTCTGTCTCTTTTATCACGACACTTTCTTCTTGGTCTGCTATTGTCTATGGTCATTATGGATAAAGATTCCTCAGAATCTGAACTGGTGATTCTAAATATTAAGCATCCACCCAAATCCAAATAAACACGATCACAATATTTGATAATATGAATTCACTTCGTGGCATTTCACCTTTCTTTAAAATATGTACATCTATTTCAAAATATTATTTCAAGAATGTATGTATAATATCTACATGTCGTCATTGAATTAGCTTATGATGAAATAATCTGTTCACATGTCAAAAGTACAGCATGTATCAGGTGATAAGGGTCCTGATCGAAATCCGGACAGTACTGAAGAATTCTTCAAATATCTTTCGATTATAATTTGATGTATAGTTTGGGTAAACTTACAGTGATATGGCACATCCTCATGGTTGCTAATTTCTGGTCACTAGTTATCACAAGCTTCAATGGAGCTGAGTTATCTTTGCTGTCGTCCGATACATAGTACAGCGAAGCTTCGCGAAACATGAAATGCTTAGCCCTCTTCCTTATTCTCCTTTTTTCGTTTTCTGTGGCCTTTTCCTTGTATTTGTTTTCACAAATATACTCTATTAGAGCTGTGTATTCCCCTGTCTCCATGTTGCACCTTCCTGCTGTGTGGCACATGCCCGCTTGTTAACTTGGTTTTCATCTTGATCTAACATGTTTCACGTGTATTTCGTGCTAGAGAGATCCCGGATGTTGACAAGTTGGGCGAGTCCATTTTGCATTCAATAATGACTGGAGTTGGTTAGGCCTACGGTATTTGTTCCTGTTGGATGGAATATTTGCCGTGTGTGCGGAATTTTTATTCGTGTCATCCGTTCACTATTTCACGGCATTTATTCCGAGACGGAACATTTTCTACTCGGAACTAAATCATGTTTACACCACGACTTCCACACAAAGTTCGCAGTCAAGACTACCAGTTGTCCGACTTCCATTTTGTGGAAGTCGCGGTGGCTGAGCGGGTTATACGGCTGACTTTGTGTGCTGGCGATTTGTTGCCTGACTCTGAGGGTGTAGGTTCGAATCCCGGATGGGACAAAACCCCAAAAGTACTAGAATTTGTACTTCACTAAGGAAGAGAAATCCTAAATATAACATATATGTGTTACATTTGACCACTTTCTAAATGGCATTGTGTAATCAGTAATTCAGTGGATACATTCACAGAAGTGTCATGTTTATCATTCTCTTCCATTATTTCAAAAAGGTCTGTTTACAATCATTGAGTAGACTACTTTATTCCAAATTGATTCTTCACAAAGGAGGATGAGAACAAACACAAGGTGTATTGCATGTACCATTGTGTGTTGGGATGTTTTCAGTTCAGTTTTCACAGCTCCTATTCATATGTACGACGATTGTTTGTTTTTCAAAATCGATAAATGAAGTAACTAACATTAACTGCAGAGAACAAAGCTGTATCATGACAAACCATCTCTCTTGGGAAATGACCGAGAATAGGTTGTATCCATGGTTTCCATGGAGATTGTAATGTAAATATTGTCACAACGTTTACCTGCCATTCTGAAATGTAGCGTTAATTGTCCACCATTAAAATACATAGTTACTATTAAAACACATGGTTAACGCAAAACACCTCCAGTGCATACAAACATGGTGACGAATAATGTCTACATAGCATTGTGGAACATCCTCAGCACTCTCAGTCTAAAGTTACAATCATCTGCCAACAGTTGTCTCCAGCGAGTGAGTATGGTTTTATAAGAATTGTTATTGTAAGTACACGTAATAATGATTATAACTTTTGACAAATCAGTTTTATTCATTGTGTAACTCTGTTCCATACATTGTGCATGTGATATTCAGTAAGGGATAGTGGCGGGCTCTATATTTTGACGGGAAAATCTGGAAATCGCTACAACGTGATTATTCCAGAATCTCCTACCTTAGAGAGTATTGTAGAAGTTTCTGGCATCTCTTTCATAGCATTAAAAGCGTTAAACAACATACGATAACGGGATAATGTGTCCAGCGGGACAGTCTTTAACGCTGTACACAATGCTCTTGTATTGTATTACCTTTGAATTTGTACTGCCACTCTATTTTGTACTTTTTCAGTGATTCGTAACTTGGAAATAGAGGAGATCAGCATGTGTTTGATTACAAAGATTAACTGTCCTCGGAAACATATATATTAAACGTCAGTGCAATAGACTACCAGCTGGAACTATCCTCCGAAATAGATTCCATTGGTGTAAGGGGAAAATAGCTGTGAACATAATATGAATAAACCTCTGGAATTCAGTGAAGTGAAAACGGTAGGCATATCAACGGGGAAGGGGGCTATATAATACCTACCATGACCGCGGAGTGTGATCTCGCCATGATGTATACTTTCGCTTTCAGACATAATGGATGAGAAGAGGACACAGACAGTGAGGTCTGATGCAGACCCGCCTTCGACAGTGTATGGACTGAAAGATCTGTGGATTGAATTCAGTCAGTCTACAGGCCTTCATGCTGTTGATAAGATTAAGCCCCCTTCATGCAGCCCGTTTACGATTCGTGGGTAGGTGTGGTTGTGTTTAACACGGACATGCCGAACGATATATCATTGTAAATAATCAAGACAAACCATTCTTATAATTATATTCATATGCACAATGTTATACTAATATGTACATATGAGATTACTTTTAAGAGCTTAGAATTTTATACATTACTACTACTCAACAGCAAAAATGATGTAATGGGTCTTCTGGTCCATTTCATAAGGTAATAATATATACATCTTAAGAAAGCTGGTTATCTCCACATCAAACAGTATGATCGTTATAATTAGTTTCAGCTGTAGACATAGCAAGCACTTGTCATAATAACATTGCATAATGACATCGGTTGTGTTTCCTCTCATTCGTGTAACAGTCCACCAAAATAGCAAGAACAGTGAAGGAGGCAAATGCTGCCCTTGTCTCACTCCATCATCGATCGCACTCATTACAATATCATAATATTTTGGTGACAATGAGTCATTTAGTCTCGTGTTTTAAATGATAGTCTAAGACATCCACAGAAATAGCGATTGCCAGATTGGAGTTTAGATACGAAGTGTCACCCTTTCCCATAAACCGGTTTGGTGTGGCTCATTTCAAAGTTCAAGATTACACAATTCTAAGTTTTCCCCCAAAAAAAGATAATGTAGTCTTGTTTCTCCACAGTGTATGCAATTCTGCACAGTACCGAATATTCTTGTGTTTATTAAACTAGAAGTTTTCGTGTTCTTGCTTCAACAGATTGGCATGGATCTTGGCCTTGTGTTCAACTACGGGGTTTCTCGTCTATAACCTTGTGGGCGAGATAGGAACCTACTACAGCTACCCAACCGTCACCAAGATCACACCCCAAATCAAACATGCAATCAATTTCCCTGCCGTCACCATCTGCAATAGATGCACCTTCAACAACACTCGCCTTGAGGTTTACCCAGAAATGGAGAACTACTTTTTCAATATTTCTCAAGGAAGGAAGAGGAAAGACTCATTTTCTCATCTAACTTCAGATGTGTTTCAGAAACCGTTGTCTTTAGAATGGTTGCAGAATATGTCAATGGAAGGGTCCAAAATGTTGTTTAATTGTGTCTTTGGTGGTGACAACTTTGATTGTATGACCAACTTCCGACCTATTTTCACTCATGAGGGGCTGTGCCATACCTTCAACTTCAATGCCAGTAAAAGTGTGTTCACGGCAGGTGACGACGCAAACCTCATCGTCACATTCAACATCAACCAGAACGACTACACCTTCATCAGAAACATGGCAGCTGGGATTAAGGTAAATAGCCCCTTCACTTAGTAACTCCCTAACGGATTATCGCCGTTTGAACATATTTCATAAAAAGTAAATATCGGAAGCTTCCTAAGATCATTCAGTGTAGAAGTGTTGAAACAAGCAGTTAGCTGTCATTAGAACTGAACAATATTATGTACACATACATAAACTGGGATTATCTACTCATCTGCGAAACTAACCGAAAGATTACGTTTGTATAATTCAGCCACATGGCCTCATGTATTGTTTTGATTCAACTCTGTAAAGACCTCGACCTTTATTTAGGGAGGACGCTTCCGGTTGGACAGGAAGTACTGATCCATAAACTGGTTAATTACTGGATTGATGTACATTTAACAGACGCACAAAAATATTACGCAAAATCGGCTACTCACAATGTTCAGATGGTTCGATATCCACTGACGGTTACAAACACTACTTGTTGAACCTTCAGGCTCCTATCTGTGTAGGTATATTGGCTCCAAACCTTTGGAGTAGTTGTTGTGATTCTGTGTTCATGTAGCAGAGGTTTGAGTATGTGTGCCCAAGATTATAAATGCATAAAATGGAGAGAAAGAATTGTTGTGTGTATGCTCGCAGGTATTTCTCCACCATCCGGACGTCCACCCAGACGCTAGCTCTACTGTGGTGACGGCTGCGCCCGGGGTTCTCAACATATGTTGCCATACAAACATTTCAGGTGGGTATGTTTGTTGTTGTTTAACGCCGCACTCAGCAATATTCAAGCTATATGGCTGCGGTCTGTAAATAACCGAGACTGCCAGACAACCCAGTGATCAACAGCGTTAGCATGAATCTACGTAAATGGATGACATGTGTCAACCAAGTCAGCGAGCCTGACCACCCGATCCCGTTAGTGACCGCTTACGACAAGCATGGGTAGTTGAAGATCTTCACGGGTGACAAGTAAATATGCTTGAATATAGGAGGTATGTTTGAGTTTATATTCTGATTACTTGGGGACACGCTCACAATGTTATGGACTTAGCACCAAGGAAGCATCCTAGTTATGCCTTGTGGAAAATTGAGAGCTCCAGAGAAGTCTCCAACATTGATAATTTTCAACAATTTTCTTATAATTAGTTAACAGAGTTATATTTTACACACGTGTTCATATCCATGTCTACATAGTAATTTCTTGTTTGCGATATATATCAGTTCGTTTTGGGATGTTTTTGCTCCCAAAATGAGTCCGAGCACCTGCCTACAAAGTTTTATGAATGATGTATATGATATCGTACAATAAAACAAATTCAGTAGTCCTACAATCAAATAAGCATATTTTATGTACGAGAGAAGGACATGGTTTTTTTCAAGCATTTAACCATAATATTTATGAATATTATCTCTTTATGGTGTCAATAAATCTGACAAATCAGTTATCAAAATCAGCGCTTTAAACTATTTAAGTATCATCGCGATAAATATTATGTTAGGTCGTTGTGTATTTGGTGGTCATATCCAATGCAATGTCCGTCATCATACAACCATGGACTCTCGACATGCATGCATTTGGCCCCACAATTTCAAGACATTTCAAATAGATTATTGACTTTCGTTTCTAGTATAGTTACCAGCCCCTCCCGTACAAGGCATTTGATGACACTATTTGCCTGGACACAAACAGTCACAATTTCGTGAATCCCCTGAAGATCTACTCCCGCTACACCTACGACCATTGCTTCATGGAGTGTGTTCAGGTGAAGGCATTTCGACAGTGTGGATGTGTCGGACCTTATGTCCCATGTAAGTATTTGACTGATTTGTGAGACATTTACATCAGTTCATATTGAGTGGAATACTGCAGTCCTCCAGGAACGATACTAGAACTTCTTTTGAAGAAGAGGCGTAATACGACACAGACCTACGATGTACTGTACATACCTGCCAACTGACGCTTGTATTACTCATGGCAGGCTCTCACGACAAAACTGTTATCTCACATGTCAAAATATACTCACCTGTGACTAATCACCAACAGTGTTTTATTGATTTTCATTACAGTGGATGATCTTCGGTGCTCTCTAGTTGACCTGGATACTTGTTACAATCCTGCTGTTAGTGAGTATATCAGCTATTTACCCTCAATAGGATACCCGTGAAGACCTGGGTTAGAATTAGTCTTCAGTAGCCCATGCTTGTCGTATGAAGCGACTAACGGGATCGGATGGTCTTCGTGTTTGGCAAAGACACACTTCCGGTTTATAAAACATGCAGTGAATAACTGGAATGAAATGAATACATCGATCAACTAATCAATAGCTTCAGGTGTGTTTATTACACAGACACATCTTGTTGAGGCTCAGACCTTGTCAACCAACCCTCGTACCTGTTGGAAAAACCACAATCCAGAGCTAACCTTCGATTTATTTGGAAATATCAGAGTCAAGGCTGAGGTTCCCGCTTGGGTAACCAAGTGGTTCAACATCAGACATACCTGTTGCTGAAACCAGTGAAGTTGGTTTAGTGTATTTGGGAATATCCAAATCGTGTAAACATTGCTTAATGCGAGTTTTCTTTCACGAGGATCGTTGTCCAAGAATGGCACCTTCGTGGAGGAGTGTCGCTGTGCCAGCGAGTGCGTGTTCGACAGGTACACGGCCCAGGTGTCCTCCAGCTCCTTCCCTGCAGACAAATGGGAATCCACTCTTCTCAAAAACACGAGGGCAAGGGACAGGAAGAGTATGGAGTAAGAGTTCCATGTTCTCAACGCTCTGATTTAACAAATGTTAAAAACAAATCATGGAAATTTCTTTCCGTCAGTAGTGTTATGACGGGTTACGCGATGGAACAGGACAGGTGCCCCTTTTCGCAAACACCTGGTGTTGCAAATGTTTATGATATATTTGGAATAGTTCTGTCGACTCTGCTTTATCATTAATGTGGAAAGGGTTTCGTGGTTCAAATACTCACACTATATCTCCGTTTAAAACCGTAGGTTTCAATCTCAATGAATGTCGCCCGAATACCTCAGAATTGCCCAGTTCAGTACTTTATAAAAGCTTCAATGTTAATGTTACTTGCTTCAAACATAATGGTTTATGTTTGAGTTCTGTCGACAAAATCGGGCACTTCCATCTTAAAGGTTTTGCTCTCGGAACACCCGAATAAAATCTTGGCCATTAAAGCAACAAAAAGAACGAAATGTTACCGCTGTTATGCTGACGCCATATCGGTCACATAAAGGGCATTTGATCAGACTGTGGAGAGTTGTCTGCCCCTTACTGCCAACGTCGCTGGTGAATGGTTTGAATCCCAATCCCAATCCTTTGTCTTTTACCGCTATGTTCGTGGGTTTTCAAAATCTCAGCGGAGTTAATCACAGTAAATGTGCTATAGATGTATATGCCACGAATATATAATAACTATTTGCCGATGTGTGTTATTCAGAGACAACTATCTGGAGCTGAAAGTGTTTTACGACCGGATGATGGTGACATCCATCACACAACAACCTCAATACACCGTGGCTTCTCTGTTTTGTAAGTATCCAATTGCTAAAGCTCCCCTATATCATAAAAACCTTGGACGGGTCACAATTTGGCTTGGAGCGTCTGAATTTGGTGTACAGAGATACGTCCCCTAGACATGAGAGGATAACTGGCATGGGTTGGCAGAAAAGTCGAGGAATTCCATCACCGATCATGAAACCTGAACAAAAGGAGCGAAGGTTGAACTGGTGCTTACAGCATAGAAATTTTAACTGGGACAATGTGATTTTCTCAGATGAAAGTTCTGTGTGGCTGTTTCCTAATACACTGAAATTCTGAACCAAACAAACTGAAAAACCTTTGTATCAGCGCCCAAAGTACAGTCCGAAATTTAACGTGTGGGGTGGCATATCTGTGTTAGGGGCAACGCTCCTCTGTGTATTTGAAGGGAATATGAACAGTGAGCGGTACACAGATATTATCGAGGGACAAATACTTCCATCTGCTCACGTGTTCTATGGAAATTTTTGGATTTTCCAGCAGGACAACGACCCAAAACATCGTTCAAAGAATTCACAGGCCTGGTTTCGGACCCAAAATATGACATTATTAGATTGGCCAAGCTATAGCCTTGACCTAAATCCAATAGAAAATGTTTGGGGACTTATGAAGGAAAGTGTCAATAAGAAAATTCTGACAAATATTGCTGAAATGAAAGAAGAGGTGGTCCGATATTGGGACAGTATGGACAAAGACTTTCTAACATCTTTAATCAGTAGTATGCCCCGCCCAATTGAAGCCTGCATTGCTGGCCATAGTGACTTGACAAAACACTAACTGTTCACCTGTCTTTGAATCTGGAGTTATGTTCTGCTTATATTCACATTTAATACGTGAGTAATGAGTGAAAAAAATAAAAGATTTACAATCTTTAAAATCTCACTAATTTCTGGTTGTACTGTACGTCCCTTGGCCATGAGAGGATAATTGGCACTAACAGCAGAGTCGTACATTCTGCACCATATGACAACCATTGAGCTGTTAATGCGTTTTTCAGAATTATCATACGTCAGAGTTCATTTCTGTCACGACGTAGACGTTCATGTGATGGTGTTGTTGTTGCAGCCAATGTCGGGGGTCAGATGGGATTGTGTCTCGGAGCCAGCTTGCTCACAGTCGCAGAGATCGCGGAGCTCCTGGTGTTCATCATCCTCTTCCTCTTCGACAAATGTAGAGGAAGAAAAGCTCGTAACAGAATCAGCAACTGGTAGACAATGCATTATCCCTCACATGCCGTACAAAATACAGCTATCATGAAGATATACATTTCCACAATGTCCCAACACAAGTTGTTCTCTTTATTTGTTGTTTAATGCCGACTCAGCTATATTCCAGCTAAATGGCGGAAGTCTGGAAATAATCGAAAATGGACCAGATTATGCAGTGATCAAAGCATGAGCATCGATCTACGCAGCTGGAATACGATGACATGTCAACCAAGATTTACGGGTTGCTGAACTATAATAACGATAGACATTCTACAACGTCCCAATAGTAGTGATCTGTTGGATCCTCATGCACCTGCTAGACCACCGACATGACAGGCGGATATTATTTGTTTGAGTGGCATTCTACAAAATTGAGATGATTAGAATTTATGGATGATCAATTTTTTTATTTTAACAATGGCGACGTTTCGGTATCGATTCTTATACCGCTTCCAAGCATACCAAGCATGATATGTCAAAATAAAGAAGATTATCATCCATAAAGCCTTGTCATCTCCAGGAAGATATTAGCCATTTTGAAATTTCTACACAACTACAGACATTACTGAAATTGCTTCTTTGTGTCACTATAATGTTCGTGCTGTAATAGTGGAGATTCTCTCGCGTATGCTGTAAATATTCCCTGTTCTGACTTGTACGATATGGCCCCGTGTTTGTAATTTATCTATTGACATGCCTTTGCGTGTGTTTGTGACTTGTGCCACCAGTGAGGCAGGATACGCTCATCTTTTCGCGAACCCCCGGTGTCATCACTATTGCATTGTTGTTAATAAACACATGCTATACTAGATGTTGTATGGTAGGAATCGTACATTAGATTCGTTTGGTGTGTTTTTTAATTGTCGAAATGTTTCTCTTATTATTTTCTATGGCGTTGTGAAGGGGGTCACTGTGGACGATTCCATCATACTAAATCTGGCCATTCAATTAAAAGAAACATTCAGGTCTCTACAGTATCTGACGCTTTAATTAATAGTGTATATTCGACGGGTCAAAATGTCCAAATAACTCAGTTACATATATTTACGACACCAACAAGCTGGGCGTGATGAATGTCCTTGACAAATCTGCGACATGGCGCCACATTTTTATATCATCTGAGATGTCTGGAATGTTGCTGCTAACAATTATTTGCATTGGAAACAACAAGTCGGATCAGTCTGTTCCTGTTGATTAGGCTTCATGTAATATTCTTTGGTGTCTGGAAATTATCTAAGAGAATATTTTATATATATATTGTTGAAAGTACCAACACAATTGTTTTGGACATTTGTGAACCATTTGGTCCGGAGCCTGGCATCATTGCCCTTATAAGATGGGACCGATTCCATCATAGAAACCTACGTGACATTTGGCATGTATTTATTGTTGTTGTTGTTTAGTTGTGTTTTTATACTTGAATAACGTGTTTCTCAAGCTAAATAAATTGTTTCCTAAACTGTAATTATGTTCCTTGTTAAAGTTTGTAAACCCTAAGGGTGAACTTCAGTACATCATGGTACCAAGTAGTTCAGATCACCTGGGTCGAACAACAACAGTGCGTAAGTGAGTTTAGTTTTTAGCCGCTTTTAGCAATATTCCAGCAACATCACGGCGAGGAACACCAGCAATGGGCTCCACACATTGTACCCATGTGGGGAATCGAACCCGGGTCGTGGCGTGACAAGCGAACACTTTCACCACTAGGCCACCCCTGCGCAGTTTTCCAGCTATACTGAAAGGCGAAAGAAACGTCATAATATTGGAAATGACATATAAGCATCAATGGAGTATTTGAACTATTTTTTCAAAATACACCGGAAAAGTTTGAGGAAAACATTAATCATGGTCGTATAGCCTGTTTTGCACAATAAAGTATTGTTTGAGATTGAGGTTAGACATGTTTTTGTTTGTGGAAAGAGAAGAGTTCGCACAAACACAACATTGAAATCGAGATGCACGTGCATCACGGATGCATTCAGGCATAAATTGCCTTCTTGAATAGCAACAGTTCACTTGTTTTCTGAGCACAGCAGTTTCTGCAAATTAATTTGGTTCATATAAGTAAAAGCCACAAAGCCTTTCTGCATCCATAATGAACTAAAAGCAAAGTCGAGTGTTCAACTTTATCCTGAGCATGTGTGTATGAATCACTCTCAAACAGCCATGAGATCAGGTGTTCGCAAAAAAGTACCCCGCCATAACCGTCATAAACATATACAAAGGAATACTGAAATAAGTTTTTTCAGTATATCAGTTTTGATTGTTATATTCCAGTGAGAATATGCTTGTTTATTTATCCGTGATCTGACCCAGTCTCACTGCAGTTAAAACAGAGTGATGTGTACTAATTTTGTTTTGTTTTTCCATCACAGATGCATCACTCCAAAATTAAATTTAGTAATTTAATAAATGTCGGTGGGGGGTGTAGGTAAGGCAGACAACAAATGCTGATAATGTTGTTATAACAACAATCAGTGTAAGGCTTATTATGTTTACTGTAATTCTGCTTCAGGTCTTTTCCTTGTGTTCATTACCCATTAATATTCTAATTGAGCAACCACTGGTTATCACAGAATGGGTCAAGATGCCCTTTATGTTATTCTGATATGAACGTGTGATATAGTTTGACCTTACTGCCAGTCCCTGAGCCAATCCATTTGGTATTGTCTTTATCAGTATTCAACTGGAAATCCATATACACCTTGGCTGTGTTCTTAATTCCTTGGGTATTCTTTAGCACTGACGTTCTATAGCTAATTCATCTGGGTCGATGTTTCGGTTGGTTGACTGAATGCCCCGAGATTCATCATAAGCTCAGTTGCATATTTCAGTATGCTGAATAAACTACAAAAGAAATTTTTGGTCCGAGACATTACAAGTGACCTCAATGTGTTGTAACACAATTCTCTTTCCCATATTCTGTACTTATAAACATCGGAATCTCTGAATATCCATACAGCGGTCGTAATTCCAAATTATCTAACTGCATTTTCCGGTTTATTGATCACCTGATTGTCTGGTGTGTGTGCATGTCACCGTCTCAAGGCAGGAGTACTGCTGTACAACAACAGGTAAAACTACACCGGTTTTTAGGCAATTTGGGTGAATGGCGGGTGCTACCGTAGGGCAGGACACGCTTACTTTTGTCGGGAACACCTGGTGTCATCACTGATTTTCAGGATCCATTCATAAAAGATTTCACAGCTATTTTTCCCTTTACATCAAACGGGGTTTGTTTCTGAGGATAGTCAAGACTGGGTTTTCTTTTGCGCTGCTCGCCGGGAAAAGCTGAAACATTGCTGATGCGGCGTTAAGCAATATTCACTCACTCACTTTTGCGCGGACATTCTCTACCTATACAACTTGAGTTTATTCTCAATTGTTTCATAGTTTGATTGTTCTATGTATTTGATTGTGCAATATCATGCTGCACTCAGTTATAATATCTCCTCATCAGCAGTCCAGTTATTAATTAATTTACTTGTATAATGGTATAATATCAAATGTCAGAACACAGTAGGTTTTATCTCATCAATCCTTAAGAAAATAGGCTTGGTGGGTGGTGGAACGCTTGAAGTGTTTGCTCAACCTAAACTTGGATTAATTCCATCAGTATCTTGTATCAAATGTACAGATAAAAGAAATGATATTTTCAATTAAATGACAACTCATTTATTGTGGACACCAAGGTTAAGTATCATGTTATCTTATGTGGGAAACTTAAAATCCGGTTAAATTTGACTCTAGTCAATAGCAGTTTTGTGTAAAAACGTAAATGCCAAAAAGTTCTCGCACCGCCTAAATGATGTTGGTGTTTATAACTTTGGCTGATCGTATGCCGTTACACTCCGCTTGTTTAGTTAGTTGTAATTATTGTATTGTCTTGTCGAGTTGATATGCAGTTCCGCTTGGCATCTGGGTGTCTTAGAGCTTGCTCTCTGAGACACATAGTACCAACAAAGGACAACCCTCAAAATCGATATAGCTTTTGTCTGTAACGGTAAGTGTTCAACAGACTGGAATTAGTGTTCTGTGAGATAGAGTTTGACATGTTTCTCATGAATCAGGTCTATTTGTCTTCAACCATTAAGTATATTGCCTTTTCCAAAATTGATGATCCCCTAACAATATCTTCTTTGTGTAAGCAAGCAACTTATGTAAACAAACCAGTATCATAAAAGTTTGAACAAAGCTATGTTGCTTTCTAAACGTTTGGTCACAACAGAAACAGATTCACCCACTTCAGACGATATTCTGGAATTTGAAAAGTGTTAACTGGATGCCTGAATTGTAAGTAATATTCTCAGACAAACATGACTTTACCAAAATGTCCGACAATGTTCAAATTTCAGGAAACGTTAACATTTCATTTTCATTTACACTATTTCATCCATGTCGTTCAATGTGAGGACTTGACAGCTCAAGATAAATTCCTCTCGTTTTCCCGGACAAGACTCATCATACTGCCATCAGCCTGTAGGTCACAATGACGACTTCTGTTGTGTTGATGATAACAACCTTCCTCTGTTATTCACATATGGACCAAAAGATCGCAGCAGCCTCCTGGTAATTAGGATTACAAGTGTATAGTCATTATGGGTGGTGCCAACGCATAAGCTCAACAGAGAAGAGGAACTAATGAATCACTTTCAGACCTAAAATCGGAGTTCTTATTGGGAGAGAAAATGAGTTGGGTTCTTCGCCGCATGTACCAACATTCCAGTAATATCTCAGCGGGGCACACCAGAAACTGGCTTGACATATACTGAACCGCCAAAGAAACCTTTCACCTTTCAAAACCAAATGCAAAATTTTGTTTTTACAAGGTGGTGTTTTTATCATGATTGTACCGTTTTTTAACATGTTCCTCAATCCAAATTGACTGTTATCACCAACATCAGTGTGTTTTCTGATGACCAAACGCACCTAAAAATGCAGACGTGGTAAAAGGTTCGGTATGACATCGTGAAAATAGAAATGCATCTGCATATAGTGACAACCGTTCAGTACATTACCTTTTTCAAAATTGATGAACTCCTAACAATAGCTTTCTATTCTATGCAACTTATGTTAGCAAAGCAGTGTTATAAAAGTTAACAAAGGTACAAGTGAACAAAGGTACATTAATTTATGTTAGCAAAGCAGTGTTATAAAAGTTAACAAAGGTAAAGTGAACAAAGGTACATTAATTTTTAAACGTTTGGTAAAAACAGAAACAGATTCATCCACATCAAACGATATTCTGGAATTTGAAAAGTGTGAACTGGATGCCTGAAATGTAAGTAATATTCTCAGACAAACATGACTTTACCAAAATGTCCCACAATGTTCAAATTTCAGGAAACGTTAACATTTCATTTTCCTTTACACTAGTTCATCCATGCCGTTCAAGTAGACTTGACAGCTCAAGATAAATTCCTATCCTTTTCCCAGACAAGACTCATCATACTGTCATCAGCCTGTAGGTCACAATGACGACTTCTATTGTGTTGATGATAACAAACTTCCTCTGTTATTCACATATGGACCACAATATCGTAGCAGCCTCCTGGTCATTAGGACCAAAGTCTATAGTCATTGTGGATGGTGCCAACGCATAAGTCGAACAACTTGTTGAATCTCTTTCAGACTTAAAATCGGTGTTCTTATGAGTATGGTTCTACGCTGCCTTTACCAACATTCCAGTAATATCTTGGCGATGGACACCAGAAATTGGCTTGTCATGTAAAGAGTCAAACCCGGATCTTCGGTGCGAGGAGGGAAAGTTTTAACCACTAAGCTACCCCTATTGCTGGTATAATATGAAATTCCTAAAACCCGACGCAATAATGAAACAGAACAGTTCTGTTCCAATCAGCTTGGTCAGACTTTCATGAATATCTTTGTAATTGTTCCTTGACAAGGTCTCAAAAAACATAATCGTTACATATAAGCATCCCTAAATTGATCATTTCATCACTGAATTTAATATTAGTGATACATCAAATAATGCCAAATGTAAAGCCAATAACTAAAGAATATATTTGCCAAAACCATGCTTCAGTAAATACGACTTTTGGTTTGACCTAAAATCCTAGGACATGCCAATTCCGTTTTCAAATCCAATTCCAAAGCTAAAACAAACCGCAGAGAGAGTGAAAGAAATTGTATGCTGGGTCCAGCGAATGAACGACCATGTATCTCTAAGAAAGGTCAATAGGGAATGCCTTTTATATACTACCCATCAAAAGTTTAGACTCACTTAAAGCACTCACTATATGTTATGTATATATATATATATAGTTACATCGAAGATGAATTTATGCAGATGAATTGCACGAGGATCATGCATCAAATTGCTAAAAACCATGTGCAAGTATCGTGCATGTGAACAGTTGCGTTTTGGTGTAAAGTTTTGTTATTTCCATCATTTACTGAACTCATGACAAAAATCTTTTCAGGGTTCCGAATCTGTTTTACTATACATCAGTTCATGTATAAACAGTACCTTTAAACAGTATGAAATATGTTGCAAAATCTAGTATAGAACAGTTGACTGAAGTAAGTGGCTACATTTACACTATTAAGTTAAACTTTTGATGGGTAGTATATATTCACAGAAAGTAATTTTAATCAATGTGGATTCTTAAAAATTCAGAGGATTTGCTTGCGTTTTCATTATCCTGAAACGAATTATTTTTTTCAACTGTGTACCCACTTCCCCCCTTAATTTCCTTCATTTCTTGATCCATCGTGGGGACATTGCTTTTCATATTAGGGGTTTGTTTTGTCCACGTTAATATAACATAAATATTGCCGAGTGCGGTATTGAACAACATGCAATAAATATCACGGACAGACAGACATCGCTCTGCTCTCCAATTGCATGAATTACGTGTTTATTCCAAAGTTGGAAATAGGAACGTAACCGGGAATTAGTCTGTAAAAGAACTCGTTGTGATATTTCACAGGCACAACATCACCTACATCTACATCCTGGCATGCTAAATTGGTATGGCCAGGTACACCCGGAAAGAAGTGAGCGAACTCTTGAATGAACTCCGACACTTGAGCTGTTCATTCAGGTGGTAAGCAACCTAGCTTACACGTGGCTTAAATTTCAATCACAAACAGCATTCTCATCAAACCTACAAACTCACATCTCTCATGAACCTAGCACGTAATTGTTGACGAGGGATTGGCGTAAACACTAACACTTTATCGCCAGGACGGAAATGTCTCTGTTCTTTCATCTTTGTAAGGAAGTTACAAGGTTGAGCTTCGTGTTAGAAAGCTATAATAGGAACTGTCATGTGAACAGTGGCTGGTGCTGTGAGCACATAGCCTTCTACAGGAAGTCCGATGAGAGTGATCCCCCCTTAGTATATACTGCAAACCTATAACTAGTAATATTAATAATGCTATATTTAGTGAGCCTCTGTTGGCCATGTATACATATGTTACAATCTTGTCCTCGGATTCTTTCAAATTTTCCATTGCAACTTCACAAGCTTTGGAGTGAGTGAGTTTAGTTTTACGCCGCAGTCAGCGATATTCCAGCTATATGGCGGCGGTCTGTAAACAATCGAGTCTGGACCAGACAATTCAGTGATCAACAGCATGACTTGAGCCGTAATCTTCCGTAAAGGAACAGCCTCTGGACACCATGTGAGCATACATGTACTTATTGCCCAACCAAGGTGAAGGTATTTATCTGATTATCTTTAATTATCTTTGCCAACACACATGCCGAAAATTAGTAATGGGACAACATTTTGTCACAAGTTTTGTTCGTACCCAAATGACCTAACAAAGACGTTCCATTTGCCAAACTCAAAACATGTCTGGCAACACGTATACAAAACTTGTGATTTTCAAGTCGCAATCAGAAAATGTTTCAAAATATCTACTTGGGATTTGGAAAATAATTCCAAAACATCAGGTGTGATCTTTCTTTTGTACGTCAGCTTACTATTGCAGTGATACTCTGATTTCAAATAGATTAACACTGGCTTACGAAGTCTCCTGAAAACACTTTGAGAAATAGGAACCTTACTAGATCGATAAAATCCTCTTAGCAATGACAAAGCTACACATACAGACATTGAAAACAAACAGTGGTATGAAAGCTGAAAGCTGATTCAAGTCTCTAGCTGTGCAGGAATGACTTTTCATTGTAATCACTGTTAACCAAGCACGTGGAACTGCAGAACCATTACCATGATATGCCCTGGTAATATTGTGATTCTCAACGGTCATGTCGTGTGACGTGTAGGTTGAAGGTTGAAGAACAGGAGTATTTATATACTCATGCCAATAATGGTTGTCACCCCTTCAATTTTTTTTTGGAGAGGGATGTGGGGTGGGTGTGGGGTGGGGAGGGGGTGACAACCATTATTGGCATGAGCATAATTAACGACAGTCGACATTTATTGCAATGACTGAGTGAATTCATTACCTATGTGATAACAAAATAACTTATTGCACAACTCCGCTCCAGGGAACATACAACACATGACATACTTCGTTGAAAGTTAGGTTGCCTTAGAAACTTCCTTGTGTCGTGATAAATAAATGTAGCTTCATTTACAGATGACTTCGTTTTGGATGTGATCATACACTGCCCAGGTAACGTTATTCCCTTCGGAATTCGGAGCATCGGTAGTATCGTTTGTTTGTTGTCAGAGGTGACTTACATGGGTGGTAAGGCTTGATGACGTGTGTGAAATCATACCGAGTTTCTGAAATCAGTGATTTGTCTGATTCAGCTATTACTTAAAATACGTTACTGGTGACTGTGTCAAATAGCAAACAGTCCAAAATATGATGACTTAAAACTTACTCTCTGTTGCATATAGAAATGAGAGAGATGACAAAATGCTTCCCTTTATCTGAAATCTCTGCTGAAGGCAGAGCTTATTGTACTGTCGGAACAACGAGTCCTGAAGTGTTGTTGCATTACCTGTAACCATCGTCGGCCATTTGTAAATATATGCGACAAAACCATTTCCAAAAGTATAATAAATATATATATAGATAGATTATTTCAACATTTGTAGCTACTTTCAATGTTTCAGAGCCTTACATTATTATTCTTTGTACTCTATTTGTTCTTTGTCTTTTGAAAAATGTCGCAAGGTTTGGAAGTCAGATTGGATTGAAGGTGTCACTGTGCATTGTTTTGGGGATATTTCAGTGAACAGTCGTTCTTCTGGAGCCTTTATTTGCAAAGTTTTAGGGTAAGCTTTGTTACAACTTCTTGACTGAAATCGAATCTGAGAAAAGGAAATAGCGGAGTACAAATAATAGGATGAATCGTTCCGAACAAAAATATACGCCACCAGGGATAAACTGAGTTTCGGATCCATATTGCCCTGTGACCTGTGGACAGTCCAGCCACGCCTTCATGTTTGCCCTCGATTCCTGATTGCGTTGCGATTGAGCGCTTCTTCGTTTCGCCGTATAGTTGCTTAGCATAACAATAGTGAGTATATGGTAGACAGACTTTGCATCCAAAACTACAATTCTACCAACGAAATCAGTATTGTCACGTACCACTGCCTCTGTGTGGGAGTTAAGCCAAATGGGCTTGTTATGGAAACTGAATTTGGAGCGTCTGAGTTCAGATTCACTTCACGTCTACATGCTTTCGACAAATGCTTTGACAAAAAAATTCTCTCAGAAACAATATCAGTCTGGGAAGAAAATGAATGTATCCTGGTTATGTGATTTTCGTCATACAATCCCAATGAATTGTTTAAGTTTTCTTGCCTTAAAGAAGTTTGGACTCCCCCGATAACATATTTAGGCGTTGACTCTATGTTGTTAGGGTCTGCTGAGGCATTTTGATCAAACGTCTTTATCTAACGATAAGAGAGCGGAAGGTCGCGGGTTCGATCCCCCGCCGTGTCATACCAAATGACGTTAAAATATGGTACTTGTTGGTCCCTGTCTGGCGCTCGGCATAGATGGGTACAACAAGGACTGGTCGGCTCGGAGTCAGTATAATGTGTCTGAGTGGGGTATTCATGCTTCACTGCGGCATAGTATCTCAGTGGGCTAGCACTATAAACCCAGCTTAAGTCTGGGCTAGTACAAGCAGCCGCACACAACATACACACGCATGCACGCCGTCATATGAGCGAAATATTCTCAAGTACGACGTTAAACCCCATTTCACCAGACCTCGCCTTTTTATATAACAACATAGTGTCAACGCGTAAATATGTTATCGGGGGAGTCCAAATTTCTTTAGTTGGCTATACAATATATGGTAAACAAATTCACAAGACAGCACTGGGATGGGTTGTTGGATCTGACAATGGTGATAGATTCCTCAAACAGTTCAAACGCTCACAGGAGTGGCATGTTTGTCATTCTCTTCCATTATTTCAAAGGTCTGTTTACAATCATTGAGTAGGCTGCTTTATTCCAAACTGATTCTTCACAAAAGAACCGATGGGTTTTTTTAAGTTGAGAGCATCCACAAAGTGTATTATGTGTTTCATTGCTTGTTATGACGTGTACTACGATTGTCACTTCTAACAATATGGTTGCATGTGTTGTTTTTTCTCAAAATCAGTCCTCTTGCCTCTCACCGTTGTCAAGCTCTATGCAATAAACAAAATCATCCATCCTCTCAAACATCTTGCCTCTCACCCATTGTCGGTGTAAGAATCTACATCGTCATCGCTGCAATAAACAAGAAGTTGTCATCCATGAAAAGCTTGATAACGTTGTAAGAATCATCCATCGAAAAAACAAGCTGAAAAGCTTGATAAAGGTGTAAGAATCTACATCGAAACATCGCTCTATGCAATAAACAAGAAGTTGTCACCCATAAAGTTGTATGTTTCATTTTTTACTTACCAACTTCTAGAATGCCGATCAAACAATTAGATTACATTTTGTGTGAAAATAATATGAATGGACCTTTCAAAATCAGTGATGCGACAAGCGTAAGCATATTCTACCCTGTAAGTGAAAGCATTTTTTCATACTCCGACAAGAAAGCTTCATTCCGCTTGCTTGTAAATAACGCTAAAACGTTAAATGTATTCACATTTTCTATAAAAAGGTAGTAGACTCTTACTAGTTAGTGTAAGTGATGACACCAGGTGATCAAACTACCTGCGTCACTAGTGAAGGTCAAAGCTCTGCCTGTGATAAATGATTCGTTTTTGTGACCATATCAACCGTGGTCATTTTGTTAATTTCTTGCTCGCTGTATGTGATCTCACCATGACATACTCTTTCGCTTTCAGACATAATGGATGAGAAGAGGACACAGATCGTCAGGCCTGATGCCAACCGGCCTTCGACAGAGTATGGACTGAAAGATCTGTGGATTGAATTCAGCCAGACTACAGGTCTTCATGCTGTTGATAAGATTAAACCTCCTTCACTCAGGCCATTTACGATTCGTGGGTAGGTGTGGTTGTATGTAACACGTACATGCCGAACTATATATCGTGGTAAATAATCAAGACAAAGCATTCTTATAGTTTTGTTCATATGCACAATGTTATACTAATATGTACATATGAGATTACTTTTAAAAACTTTCCGTTAGGAGACTAATATTTTATACATTACTACCACTTCTCAAAGGAAAAAATGATGTAATGGATCTTCTGATCCATTTCATGAGGTAATTATATATACATCTTAAGAAAGCTGGTTATCTCCACATCAAACAGTATGATCGTTATTATTAGTACCAGTTGTATACATACATGGTATACTAATATGTGCATGAGATTACTTTCAAATGCTTTCTGTTCTAATATGAGATTAATATTTTATAAATTACTAATGCTGAAAAGAAATAAATGTAATGGATGTACTGACATCATCGTTATAATTAATAGCAGCTGTATACATAGCAAGCACTTGTCATAATAACATTGCATATTAACATCGGTTGTGTTTCCTCTCAAGCATGTAACATTCCGTCATCAAGCGAGAACAGTGAAGGAGGCAAATGCTGCCCCTGTCCTACTCCATCATCGATCGCACTCATGACAATGCAATATCAACATAGTTTGTAGACTTATCTTTTATATCACTCCCTAATTTTTACCCAGTAGTCCATCTTGCTGTACAATATCTGTTTGTTGTTTGTGTTTCTTTTGTTTGTTTGTTTGTTTGTCTGTGTTTGGTTTTTTGTGTTGCTTGTTTTTTGTGCTTTGTTTGTTGGTGTGTTTTGTTTCTTTTTGGTTTTGTTTTTAGGGGGAGTGTTTATCTCGTTTGCATGTTGATGTTTTTATTGCGTTTTTCTTCTTCTTGTTGTTGTTGTTGTTGTTGTTGTTGTTGTTGTTGTTGTTGTTATGTTTCGGGTATTATATTAGGGGAGGGGGAGTGTGTTTTGGGCGTTGTAACAGTGTATTTGTTGACAATGAGTCATTAAGACATCCACAGAAATAGCGATTGGCAGACTGTACTTTAGATACGTAGAGTCACCCTTTCCCACTAACCGGTTTTGTGTGGCCCATTTCAAAGTTATACATTACACAATTCTAAATTTTCCCAAAAAAATTAATAATGAAGTCTTGTTTTTCCACAGTCAAGGCAATTCTGCACAGTACCGAATGTTCTTGTGTTTATTAAACTTATAGTTTTAGTCTTCTTGCTTCAACAGATTGGCATGGATTTTGGCCTTGTGTTCAACTACGGGGTTTCTCGTCTATAACCTTGTGGGCGAGATAGGAACCTACTACAGCTACCCAACCGTCACCAAGATCACACCCCAAATCAAACATGCAATAGATTTCCCTGCCGTCACCATCTGCAACAGATGCACCTTCAACAACACTCGCCTTGAGGTTTACCCAGAGATGGAGAACTATTTTTTCAATATTTCTCAAGGAAGGGAGACGAACGACTCATTTTCTCATCTAACTTCAGATGTGTTTCAGGCACCGTTGTCTTTAGAATGGTTGAGGAACATGTCAATGGAAGGATCCAAAATGTTGTTTAATTGTGTCTTTGGCGGTGACATCTTTGATTGTATGACCGAGTTCCGACCTATTTTCACTTATGAGGGGTTGTGCCATACCTTCAACGTCAATGCCAGTAAAATTGCGTACACGGCAGGTGACGACGCAAACCTCATCGTCACATTCGACATCAACCAGAACGACTACACCTTCATCAGAAACAGGGCAGCCGGGATTAAGGTAAATAGCCCCTTCACTAAGTAACGGATTAACGCCGTTTGAACATATTTCAAACTAAAAAGTAAAAATCAAAACCTTCCTAAGATCATTCAGTGTTGAAGTGTTGAAACAAGCAGCTAACTGTCATTAGAACTGAACAATATTATGTACACATACATAAACTGGGATTACCTACTCATCTGCGAAACATACCGAAAAGATTACACGTGTGTACAATTAAGCCACATGGCATCATGAATTGTTTTGATTCTGTAAAGACCTCGACCTATATTTAGGGAGGACGCTTCCGGTTGGACAGGAAGTCCTCATCCATAAACTGGTTAATTACTGGATGGATGTACATTTAACAAACACAAAACTCTTTTGCAAAATCAACTAATCACAACCGTCAGATGGTTCAATCTCCACTGATGGTTACGAAAACTACTTGTTAAATTACGGATTCTGATTTTGTGAGGAATAACCTTCAGGACGTTATTCGTGTAGGGATATGGCTCAAAGTAAATCTCCCCTTCCATAAACCTTGGAGTAGTTGGTGTGAAGATGTGTGCCCAAGATTTTTATAAATAGTTCGCACAATGTAAAATGGAGAGAAAGAATTGTGCTGTGTATGTTCGCAGGTATTTCTCCATCATCCGGACGTCCACCCAGACGCTAGCTCTATTGTGGTGATGGCTGCACCCGGGTTCTCAACATATGTTGCCATACAAAAAATTCAGGTGGGTATGTTTGTTGGTGTTTTACGCCGCACTCAGCAATATTCCAGCTATATGGCTGCGATCTGTAAATATTCGAGGCTACCAGATAATCCAGTGATCAACTGCGTTGACATCTATCAACGCCACCGGGATGACATGTGTCAACCAAGTCAGCAAACCTGATCACCCGATCCCGTTAGTCGATTGTCTTCACTGATCCTACAATCATATGAGCAGATTTTATGAACGAGAAAAGGGCATATTTTCTGATGCATTAAATCTTAAAACTTATGTCTTTTTAATGTCTATAAGTCTATGCCATCAATTATCAAAATCGGTGACCTAATATTTAATTATCATCGCGTTATTATGTTGTATCGCTGTGTATTAGGTGGTCATATCCAATGCGATGTCTGTAATCCTACTCTCATGCATACTTGCATCTGGCCCCACAATTTCAAGGCATTTTAAACAAATCATTGATTTTTGTTTCAAGTTTCTTTACCAGACCCTCCCGTACAAAGCATTTGATGACACTAATTGTCTGGACACAGACAGTCCAGATTTTTTTAATCCTCTGAAAATCTACTCTCTCTACACTTACGACCACTGCTTGATGGAGTGTGTTCAGCTGAAGGCATTTAAGCAGTGTGGATGTGTCGGACCTTACGTCCCATGTAAGTATTTGACAGATGTTGTATACATTTACACCAAGTGTGCGAATGAAGCACAGTTCATATTCAATGGTATACTGCAGTCCTACAGGAACGGTGCCAGAGTAGTTTTGAAGAACTGCTAGTAATCCTGTATAGAGACGTTAACTGAGGTGAGGTGAGGTGAAATTGGGTTTTACGTCGTGCTTGAGAATATTTCGCTCATATGACGACGTGCATGCGTGTGTATGTGTATGTGCGGCTGCTTGTACTATCCCAGACTGAAGCTGGCTTTTTATAGTGCTAGACTTGACTCCGAGCCGACCAGTCCTTGTTGTACCCATTAATGCCAAGCACCAGGCAGGGACCAACAAGTACCATATTTTAACGTCTTTTGGTATGACGCGGTCGGGGATCGAACCCGCGACCTTCCGCTCTCCAGGAGGCGATTACGTTAACTAAGGGTAGACTGAGGCACACATGAAGTAAGTGACTTGACCAGGGTGATAACACATGTTGATACTTGTGTTTCGTGTGAATGTTCATATTCGTGTTTCCACAATTGGGGTGTTATATGAGACAGTCCTACAGTGTACTGTACATACCTACCAACTCACGCTTGTATTATTCATGTCACCCTCTCAACGACAAAACTGTAATCTCACATGTCGAAACACACTCTCCTGTGCAAAATCACCATTGATTTCATTTTGATCACCTTATTGATTTTCATTACAGTGGATGATCTTCGGTGCTCTCTAGTGCAGCTGGATACTTGTTACAATCCTGCTGTTAGTGAGTATATCGGCTAATTACCCTTAATAGGATACCTGTGAAGACCTCGGTTAGAACTGGTCTTCAGTAACCCATCCTTGTCGTAAGAGGCGACTAACGGGATCGGGTGGTCAGGCTCTCTGATTTAGTTGAACGATGCTCGTGATGTTGATCACTGGATTGTCTGGTCCAGACTCGATTATCTACAGACTGCCGCTATATATCTGCAATAGTGCTGAGTGCGGGGTTAAACAAAAAAACACCCACCAACCCAACAACCCTTAATAGGAGAGCATAGACCTCTTCTGTTTCAACTGTACAGAGGCGAAAAGCAAAGGTTCACACACACAAATACATGTACAACTCCGGCGACAGGAACTCCTGGCCGTGTAGTTTGGTACTGGGATTTGCAACAATTAGGTTCAATTTTCAATGTATGACACCTACTAGACTACCAAGTAAGTAAGGAAAAGACATTACAGGATAGCAAGACATACGTTTTTGACTAATACTTTTTTAGCCTGACGTGAAACATTTTACTATGCATGGCCTCATAATTGGCTTTGTTGCACGATATCATTTGAGTGTATCATCAAACCTTTGAACCTCGGCCTACTGTTTCTTTTACGAGGATCGTTGTCCAAGAATGGCACCTTCGTGAAGGAGTGTGAGTGTGTCAGCGAGTGCGTGTTCGACAGGTACACGGCCCAGGTGTCCTCCAGCTCCTTCCCTGCAGACAAATGGGAATCCACTCTTCTCAACAACACGGGGGCAAAGGACAGGACGAGTATGGAGTAAGACTTCCATGTTTTCCAGACTCTGTTTTTATCAAATGTTAAAAACATGGATATTTGTATTTCCGTCGTTAATGTCATGACGGGTTCCGCCGATAGAACGGGACAGGGGCCCCTTTTCGCAAACACCTGGTGTCATCTCTATTTAATAGTAATTCATAAACAAATGATCATGATATATTTGGAATAGTTCTGTCGACTCTGCTTCTGGCGGAGATTTATCATTGATGTGGAAAGGGTTTCGTGGTTAAATTACTCACACTATATCTTTGTTTAAAGCCGTATGTTTCACTCTGAATGAATTTCGCCCGAATTCGCCCGGTTCAATACTTCATAAAAGTTTCAATGTTGATGTTACTTGCTTCAAACATAATGGTTTATGTTTGAATCTTGTTGAAGTTTAATCAGACTGTAGAGAGTTGCCCCCCACAACACACACACACACACACACACACACACACACACACACACACCCTACTGCCAACGTCGCTGGTGAATGGTTTATATCTAAGGTTGACTAAGATGTTGATCCTTTGTCCTTCACCGCCATGGTCATAGGTTTTCAAAATTACTCCCAGTAAATATGCTACGGATGTATGCTTACCGATCCGTCGAATTTCTGATTTCAGAGTAGTAAAATGCATTCGACGGATCGGCACTGTGATCTTAGCTATGAAAACATTTGATCATACCCCAAAAAAAGACACAAGGGGCGTTGGATGTTTTGACTCTCTATATGTTTTTACTTTTGTACAGTATATATCTTTGCCTACTCAAATGATACAATGAGAAATTGATGCATTAAATACATGTTTGGACTCTCAAGCATGATTCGACGGATCGGCACAGCTGGCTGTTCAAAATTCGACGGATTAGGTCGTAACCGTTTGCCGATGTGTGTTATTCAGATACAACTTTCTGCAGCTGAAAGTGTTTTACGACCAGATGATGGTGACATCCATCACACAACAACCCCAATATACCGCGGCTTCTCTGTTTTGTAAGTATCCAATTGCTAAAGCTTCCCTATATCATTAAACCTGGGACGGGCACAATTTGACCTGGGGCGTCTGAATTTAGTGTACATAGTCACGTCCCTTTGCCATGAGAGGATAATTGGCACTAACAGCAGAGTCGTACATTCTGCGCCATATGACAACCATTGAGCTGTTAATGCGTTTTTCAGAATCATGATACGTCAGAGTTCATTTCTGTCACGCCGTAGATGTTCATGTGATGGTGTTGTTGTTGCAGCCAATGTCGGGGGTCAGATGGGATTGTGTCTCGGAGCCAGCTTGCTCACAGTCGCAGAGATCGCGGAGCTCCTGGTGTTCATCATCCTCTTCCTCTTCGACAAATGTAGAGGAAGAAAAGCTCGTAACAGAATCAGCAACTGGTAGACAATGCATTTTCCCTCACAGGCCATACAGAATACAGCTATCATGAAGATATACATTTCCACAATGTCCCAACGCAAGTCGTTCTCTTTGTTTGTTGTTTAATGCCAACTCAGCTATATTCCAGCTAAATGGCGGAAGGCTGGAAATAATCGAAAATGGACCAGACTATGAAGTGATCAAAGCATGAGCATCGATCTACGCAGCTGGAATACGATGACATATCAACCAAGATTTACGGGTTGCTGAACTATAATAACGATAGACATTCTACAAAGTCCCAATAGTAGGGATCTGTTGTCTCCTCATGCACCTGCTAGACCACAGACATGACAGGCGGATATTATTTGTTTGAGTGGCATTCTACAAAGTCAAAATAAAGAAGATGATCATCCATAAAGCCTTGTCATCTCCAGGAAGATATTACCCATTTTGAAATTTCTACACAACTACATACATTACTGAAATTACTTCTTTGTGTCACTATAATGTTCGTGCTGTAATAGTGGAGATTCTCTCGCGTATGCTGTAAATATTCCCTGTTCTGACTTGTACGATATGGCCTCGTGTTTGTAAGTGATCTATTGACATGCCTTTGCGTGTGTTTGTGACTGGTGCCACCAGTGAGGCAGGATACGCTCACCTTTTCGCGAACCCCCGGTGTCATCACTATTGCATTGTGGTTAATAAACACATGCTATACTAGATGTTGTATGGTAGGAATCGTACATTAGATTCGTTTGGTGGGTTTTTTTAATTGTCGAAATGATTCTCTTATTATTTTATATGGGTCACTGTGGACGATTCCATCCTTTGACCCTTTAACACTAAATCTGGCCATTCAGTTAAAAGAAACATTCAGGTCGCCACAGTATCTGACGCTTTAATTTATTGACAAGTGTATATTCGACGGATCAAAATGTCCAAATAACTCAGTTACATATATTTACAACAACAAGCAGGACCTGGTGAATGTCCTTGACCAATCTGCGACATGGCGCCACATGTTTATATCATCTGAGATGTCTGGAATGTTGTCGCTAACAATTATTTGCATTGGAAACAACAAGTCGGATCAGTCTCTTCCTGTTGATTAGGCTTCATGTAATATTCCTTTTTGTCTGGAAATTATATATATATAATAGTGTATATTCGACGGATCAAAATGTCCAAATAACTCAGTTACATATATTTACGACAACAACAAGCTGGACGTGATGAATGTCCTTGACCAATCTGCGACATGGCGAAACATTTTTATATTATGTGAGATGTCTGCAATGTTGTTGCTAACAATTATTTGCATTGGGAACAACAAGTCGGATCAGTCTCTTCCCGTTGATTAGGCTTCATGTAATATTCCTTTTTGTCTGGAAATTATATAATGTTTTGGACATTTGTGAACGATTTGGTCCAGACCCGGGCATCAATCTATCATAGAAACCAACGTGACCTTTCGCATGTATTTGTTGTTGTTGTTTAGTTTTAAACTTGAATAACGTGTTTCTTAAACTAAATAAATTGTTTCCTAAACTGTAATTATGTTCCTTGATAAATTTTGTAAACCCAAAGGGTGAACTTCAGTACATCATGGAACCAAGTAGTTCAGATCACCTGGGTCGAACAACAACAGTGTGTCAGGGAGTTCAGTTTTACGTCGTTTTTAGCAACATTCCAGCAATATCACAGCGGGGGAACACCAGAAATGGGCTCCACACATTGTACGCATGTGGGGGATCGAACCCGGGTCGTGGCGTGACGAGCGAACGCTTTAACCATTAGGCTAGCCAACCGAAATTTTCCAGTTATATTGCAGCGGTTCGTAAAAGATCGAGTCTGGACCAGACAATCCAGTGATCAACACCACGAGCATCGACCTTCGCAATTGAGATACGAATTCATGTGTTAACCAAGTCAGCGAGCCTGACCACCCGATCCCTTTTGTTGCCTCTTACGACAAGCATGGGTTGCTGAAGACCAATTCTAACCCGGATCTTTACGGGTCAGTTATATCATGGAGGGGGACACCAAATATGAATTCCTACATAACACCCATGTGAAGAATCGAACTCAGATCTTCGGCGTGACGAGTGAACGCTTTACCCACTAGGTTACCACACCGCCCTGGCTAAGTGGAAAACGGAAGTGACATTGGTTTCACGTCATGAACAGTATTTCAAGTGTATAACACCTGGTTACCCAAACGACGTCGAAAATCTTGATAGTAAAGAATACGGCTGGACTATGTAGTGTTGAAACACCTTGGATCATAATCCAAACACAGGGGTACCGGATCCTGGTACCTACGGACGCATCACTAAATAGTAGTATGCGCCACTAATACCACAAAACAAAGAACACAAATTAGTAATTACCTTAATGTACATGTGTACGGCTATGGCTGCCACAAGAAAACTCATGGGACATGTTCAAATTTCAATACAAATTGTTTATCACAATTTAAACTAGAGGTGTTGATTTATATTTTACAAGTACCAGCACAATTACCTTTACAATCAACGACTTTAGAAAACAACTATCGATCACATCAAATACTGATGTAACTCAACAACGGCAATATAAATATTTCAAAACAGACATGCATACGAATGTCTTCACTTCCTACGAGGCTTCCAACCTACGTGTCCCAGATCCACCTACCCCGCCTACTAATTAAGAACACTGCCAGATATGGTCCCATCTGACCTCGATAGTCATTCTCTGATCAACATGGCCTAGGATGATTTATACTGGACTGTACAAATATTTAAATGAATACAACACTCCAGTATCTTTGTCCCGTGAGATGTGCAACTGTAAATACCAATTTGTGCTTGTGACCAGCTCCTGCAGTTCTCAGTTATTCTCTGGCTCTAACTTTGCTACTTGTTTATGCTTGAAAGATGTGGATGAACCATTCATGGAATACGTCCATTCTCTGGGGGATAGTTCAAAGCTACATTGAATCTCTTTTACTTTGAGGTTTGTTACATGTGGGCGTATACACTCCTCGACATACTTGAGTAAAATCTTGTTTGATTCTCGTGTGGGTTGACATTCATCCCGGCACCCTACGTCCCACTCATAAGCATAGAAGGTTAAGATTCGTAATTTGGACATCACCTCATTTACCGACAATCCTACACACACACACACACACACACACGACCATTAACCAAGCACTATCCATTTGTTCTGTGATAAATATGAAAACACTTAATCTACATGACTGTATGCTTTGGAAACAAACCGAAATTTAACTGGTTACTACAGCAAATTTGGAAACAACAACAAAACTGAAACTTAAATTGGGTAACAATTTACTTAAATCTGAAAGAAATACACAAAAATGATAACATCAACCATGGCGAAAACCATCGTTTCCATGGCGTGCTTCGCCACAAATCTGAGTGTCACGTAGTTTTCAAATAATGATTGCTGTGATTGTATGAAACACCACTGACGAACGCCTTAGTGAGGTAAGGTGAAAGTGGGTTTTACGTCGTGCTTGAGAATATTTCGCTCATATGACGACGTGCATGCGTGTGTATGTGTATGTGCGGCTGCTTGTACTAGCCCAGACTGAAGCTGGTTTTAAAGTGCTAGCCCACTCAGATACCATGCCACAGTGAAGCAGGAATACCCCACTCAGACACATTATACTGACTCCGAGCTGACCAGTCCTTGTTGTACCCATTAATGCCGAGCGCCAGACAGGGACCAACAAGTACCATATTTTAACGTCTTTTGGTATGACGCGGTCGGGGATCGAACCCGCGACCTTCCGCTCTCCGGGCGGACGCTCTAACCACTACACCACGGAGGCGGTCGACGAAGGCCTAAGTACCAGGTGTAGCCAACCATCGGAACGGCTGCCCGTGTTTTAATACTCTCAACATCGGAATCTGCGGCCATTCCTCATGGAGTACATGTAATTCCTGCAGGCTTGGAACAGGAGGATCTCTACCTCGAACGAGACGTGCAAGATTGTCTCAAATGTTTTCTTTGGACCCCATCTCGGGCCATGATAATGTTTCATTGGCATTGTTAAGCAAATGGGCGATGATGCTTCGACAACTTTGATTACTAACGTTGTCATCCATGAATATTGGACGACTGACAAGGGGATGGTTATCAAATTGTAGCACCACGGCGGTATCCAGTACTTCCTGTTATGTCCCAGATATTGTAGTGAGATCCAACTTGCCGTCATACTAAACACAACCAACACCATCAGTGAGCCACCATCAAAGGGTCCAACTGCAATGATATGCTTTGATATGCCGTGTTACGACGTCTCCAAACGCCACAACCGTTGCCGGTAACGAGTAGACTTTCATCAGTCCAACGAACCCTACGCCATATGAAGTTGCGATTTTCCAGGAGCCTTCACGACTCCAGACGTTCGTGACTGTGCCTGTCTGCGAATAAGGGACGACGTTCCCTCACACCCGCAGCCTCCTTCTGATGGTACACGACTCGGACTCCCACTCTCCATATTTTACATCACTTCAGAAAACTGTACTCCAACTGTGAAACTCTCCAATCATTGTATACCCAGATATTTCAATATTTATTTGTTCGATGACTTTGGATCTCATAAAAACATGATCTTCAGAATGAAACATTTTGCTACTGACCAATGGCACTCATTATTTGACCATGTTTCCAATTGCTTTCTCTTGTTTCTATGTATCTCATGGTGTGACTCGTTCCTTGCAAGTCTGTAAGAACACTGAGCTTATCCTTTCATTATGTATCTGTGGTACATGTATTTCTGACATTCATCCAAATGAGCTCAATATGATACATGTGTATACAGAAAATGTGTGGCACTCCATCTGAGGAACAATGCGCTGGTCACGCGAGAAACCTATGTTTGTGGGTTTGAATTCCTGTTGTCTTGATCAAGCTTCTAGGTTCGGGAGACACATGAAAATCCGGGTTAGAATTGGTCTTCAGTAACCCATGCTTGTCGTAAGAGGTGACTTAACGGATCGGGTGGTCAGGCTCGCTGGCTTGTTTGACACATGTCATCGTATCCCAATTGCACAGATCGATGCTCATGCTGTTGATCACTGGATTGTCTGGTCCGGACTCGAGTATTTACAGACCGCCGCCATATAGCTGGAATATTGCCGAGTGTGGCGTGAAACTAAACTCACTCACTCACTCACTTGATATAACTGGGAAACTGTTAGAAGGGTTAAAAAGTACAATCACAGTTGTGTCGAACTTTGATGTTCTCAACTAGGGACATTTTGAGGTAAAAGGTGGGTTACTGTGTATTTTGTATTTCGGTTGCATCAAAACCTGGGGTAACGCAAGGCTATTATGTCAGTCCCTTTAACTTCACACAACAGAGTTTGAAACGTTCAGGCTGTTTTCAAAATTAGAAAGGTGATGCTTAACTCTCTTCCATGTTTACATACTATAAAAAGTGTTGTTCTATACAAAACAAATCAAGCCTAAGACATGATGATTACAAACATTATTTATTAAAAACATGTAGTCCAAGTCTGTCAACACAACTCCGGATTGGTTACAAACGAATCATCAGTGTCTAAGAAGAATCTGAAAAGTGGACTCTCAGTGGCATATTTGGCCAATATTTGGGCTGGTTGGCATCAAGGTGTCTGTCGTATGTCATCTGCAGTGCTGTCTCCATGCCGTGAATCATGGCTGCACCTGTCCCATACAACAGCTTCATTTCTGACGTGCGTCGCAGTCCGGGCCTCTCACTCGGAGCCTCTGATGTCCGTTCTCGCAGCTGTCCTCTCACTGTAACAGAAGCAGTAAATACCAAAGCTTGAAACACAGGGACCATTTTAATAGACAGCATGTTATGGAGGTGAGTAAAGTGAAAATGGGTCCAGTGGTGAAGACTATTGCAGTTAGTGAGGGAGTGAGTTTGGTTTTATGCCCGCTTTTAGCAATATTCCAGCAATACCATGGTGGGCGACACCAGAAATGGGCTTCACACATTGTACCCATGTGGGGAATCGAACCCGGGTCTTTGGTGTGATGAGCGTACACTTTAACCATTAGGCTGCCCCACCGCCCCTAGGCATGTATGAGTGTGGGTATACAGTTGCTCGTACTGTCAGTATCATGTAGTGCCAGCTCACTCAAATATGCTACAGTTTAATACGGATATCAACCAGACACACTATACTCTGAGCCAACCAGTCCTTGTTTAATCCCAGCACCAGGAAGGGAGATAACAAGTACAATCTGTTTAACATCTTTCGGCATGAAGGAGCCGAGAATTGAACCAACAAATGTTTCCTCTCCAACCACTTGCAGTAAACTTGGCAAATATTCAGGGAAAACAGGAGAAAATGACTGTTGAACATTTCCGCTAGTCTGACATACCAATCCAGAAGCAAACACACCTATTTTAGTCCAAGCAAGTCTAGAATATATGGCAAGTCTAGATTACCTCAATTTCAGAAAATAAAGTCTCTGGGCTCCTTTTTAAAATATTTTATGAAAATAATTTAGGAAATTTTGTCTGTAAAATATGTTCATATCAGAGACCAGATGTTATTCTAGATTCTGCCTTACCATCTTCAATGTTGATCCTTTTGTCTTTCTTTTCTTTTTCTATGTCTTCCTTTTTCTCAGCCTCTGGAACACAAACAAAGAAATAGATTTCTGAGTACTACATTTCCTCATAAAGAAAACCCAAGAACATGGGTTGCTTGGGACATATCTTACAGAGGAAACCCAAGAATATGGGTTGCTAGGGACATATCTAATCAAGGAAACCCAAGAAGATGGGGTGCTGTGGACCTATCTTATCAAGGAAACCCAAGAAGATGGGTTGGTGGGGACATATCTTATCAAGGAAACCCAAGAAGATGGGTTGGTGGGGACATATCTTATCAAGGAAACCCAAGAAGATGGGTTGGTGGGGACATATCTTATCAAGGAAACCCAAGAAGATGGGGTGCTGTGGACCTATCTTATCAAAGAAACCCAAGAAGATGGGTTGGTGGGGACATATCGTAACAAGAAAACCCAAGAAGATGGGGTGCTGGGGACCTATCTTATCAAGGAAACCCAAGAAGATGGGGTGCTGTGGACCTATGTTATCAAGGAAACCCAAGAAGATGGGGTGCTGGGGACATATCTTATCAAGGATACCCAAGAAGATGGGGTGCTGGGGACCTATGTTATCAAGGAAACCCAAGAAGATGGGTTGGTGGGGACATATCTTATCAAGGAAACCAAAGAACATGGGTTAGTGGGGACATATCTTATCAAGGAAACCCAAGAAGATGGGGTGCTGTGGACCTATCTTATCAAGGAAACCCAAGAAGATGGGGTGCTGGGGACATATCTTATCAAGAAAACCCAAGAACATGGGTTAGTGGGGACATATCTTATCAAGGAAACCCAAGATGGGGTGCTGGGGACCTAAGTTATCAAGGAAACCCAAGAAGATGGGGTGCTGGGGACATATCTTATCAAGGAAACCCAAGAAGATGGGTTGGCGGGGACATATCTTATCAAGGAAACCCAAGAAGATGGGGTGCTGGGGACATATCTATCAAGAAAACCCAAGAAGATGGGTTAGTGGGGACATATCTTATCAAGGAAACCCAAGAAGATGGGTTGGTGGAGACATATCTTATCAAGGAAACCCAAGAAGATGGGTTGGTGGGGACATATCTTATCAAGGAAACCCAAGAAGATGGGGTGCTGGGGACCTATCTTATCAAGGAAACCCAAGAAGATGGGTTGGTGGGGACATATCTTATCAAGGAAACCCAAAAAGATGGGGTGCTGGGGACCTATCTTATCAAGGAAACTGAAGAAGATGGGGTGCTGGGGACCTATCTTATCAAGGAAACCCAAGAAGATGGGTTGGTGGGGACCTATCTTATCAAGGAAACCCAAGAACATGGGTTGGTGGGGACCTATTTTATAAAGGAAATGCGGGTTGCTGTGGGACCTATCTTGTCAAGGTAAGCCAAAAACATGGGTTGATGAGAACACATCTTGGTAAACCAAGAACCAAGGGAAACCCATGAACATATTTACTTCAAAGGACCTATGTTATTAAGGAGTGAGTGAGTGAGTAGAATGTTATGCCAAGAGACCTGACGAGGACCAACAAATAGCTGAGAATGGAGATTTTGGTCTCACCAAGTGAGTGAGTTTAGTTTCACGCCACACTCAGCAATATTCCAGCTATATGGCGGTGGTCTGTACATAATCGAGTCTGGACCAGACAATCCAGTGATCAACAGCATGAGCATCGATCTGCGCAATTGGAAACCGATGACATATGTCCAAGCACCACCATCACATGGCTATTAATCAAAGCAGCATAAAAGTGATGTCCCATTGTGAAAACAATGGTACTGATCTCAGAACATATTCTGACATATTGTGCATACCTCTCTGTTGCCTGTGTTTTTGAGATGTTGCAAAAAAGTCCAACATTTCATCAGAAATCTCCATCTCCATCTGGGAGGCAACATCCTCCCCTCCCGCTGGCGTCACATCACATGTAACATCATCATCACCTACTTCCACTGCATCAGCAAAATCACTTTCTACGTCCATATCAATATCCCCTTGCTTCCTCTTAAGAGGAACAGATGGCTGACTCGGCATCCCTGACACAGCACAATTTGCCCTCCCTCTCCCCTTCCTTGACCTGACTGGAGTCTGTCTATGAATGTACTGAGAATGTGAGTAAGGATGAGAGTAAGGATAAGAGTAAGGATAAGAGTAAGGCTGGTATGAGAAAGACGGATAAGAATATGCTGCTTGGTATGATGGGTATGACCTATGGTAGCTCAGCTTCTTCTGAAGAGACCTCTGCACATGTCCGTGCTTCTTATACCAGTTCATCACGTATCCATAGTGACTCCAATATCTGTCGAAACATTTGTGTGAGTACCAGTCCTGGGTGTCAAATTTTGGTAGATTACTGAAAATGTCCTTTTTCTTGTCCTCCTTTGCGCTGGTACATGCTGAGGTGGTTGATGAAGAGCAATCGCGAGTTGTTTTACAATTATCTGTTGCGAGAGCCGGTTTAGAGATGTTTTCTCTGATAAGAGTTACACTTGAAGATAATTTGTCTTCGGTGCCTGAGTCTGCAGACATATCTTCAGCGCTGCCATCTGGTGGCTGTGTTTCAGCAGACATCTTTGCTGTTAAGATTTGGATTTTTTTCATCCTGATAAGTTCATCTGAAAATTACAAAATGGCATATGATTTCTGTAAATGTAACTGATGTCATATCATGGCTCAACATCCATTTGTCTAATATTATGGTTATAAAGGTGAAGAGGATCTAAATTCATGCTCAAGACTAGTTCACTAATTTTGCGGCATGCACATGCATGTCTCTCAAACTGATTGCAACAATGGTGACATTCGGGACATTTGTGCATACTGGATGCAAATTTCTGCATAGCGTAAAATTCTGAATGCAATATTATTTCCTAGATATTCTTCAAAATAGTTATTTGATATAGAATATGAGGCAGTGGCATTCTCAAGAATTTCTTTCTTTCTTTTTTTCCCATTTACCAAATGAAAAATATATAGAGTCATGCAGTGGAGCTTGTGATTTGATATTAAACAGGGTATGTTGTTATGCATCCAGCAAATCAAGGAGTGAGTGAGTGAGTTTAGTTTAGTTAGTGGTGTTAATAACAGTTATTTTGGTGTTTTGTTTGCTTTTTTGTTTGCACTCAGCAATATTCGTACCCCAAGATATCAGACTGATACAATGACATGTATCAACCAAGTCAATGATCACTGCCTCTTACAATAATTATTGATTGCCGAGGTACTACTCTAACCTGATTCTTCACTGGGGTATGTCACAGTCAGTGAGGTGTGTAGGGATGAAAATCTTATAATTAACTTATTACAGACTTTGTATGTTTCAAAATTGTTTTATTTGGCATTGTTTTTGCATTTCAAAACTATTCATTTATAAATGTGGATGTGTAACCTACTGTCTAGTCACTTGCAAGTTATCTCCCTTAGATGTGATTTTACAGCTTTCTAGCACTTCACACAACCAATATCAACAATGTATCAATACTTGGCCTGATTTGTCTCACTGAACCTTGAGTTGTGTGAGTGAGTGCGAGAAAATAGTTTTACACAGCTTTTAGCAATATTCAATCAATATCACAGTAGGAACAAAAGAAGTAGACTTTGCACATAGTATCTATTTGGGGAATCAAACACAGTTCTTTGGATTGACAAGAAAACACTTTAACCACTACGCTACTGTACCACCCTGGAAGACTTGGGGAAGGAGGGTACGAAATCCATTGCACCGAACCCTGTTCTCATGGATTGTAGTTTAAAACAGGAGGTAAGAGATTCCTCGGCTGTTTCAATTTTTTTATCAAGTGTAATGTATTCTTCTGAGTCAACATCTACGTGACTTATTAAGATACAGACAACATATATTTCATTCTGTTCAAAGAGTATGCAAGTTAAGTTCACAATTCTGTGCCTAAATATATGGGTATTTGGGGAAATATTTGACATACCTTATTAAAAAGCACCAAGTAACTCTTCACTAACAGGCTTCAGTTCTTTGCGGGAGATTTCTGGTGTTCCCCGCCGTGATATTGCTGGAATATTGCTAAAAGCGTCGTAAAACCGAACTCACTCACTCTTTGCAGGAGACCCATGACGTCATTTCAAGAAATGATACAAGGCAAGAAACCTAACACAATAAACTTAAAAAGCACAAAAGTGGAAAGTTTCCAAGATTCAACTCTTATACCATGTAATTGTACCTTTCTCATTTCAACATGTTCAAAAATTGATCTTATCATGAGCTTTGAATATGTCACTGTCAGCCAGATTTTTGGATATCCTAGGGAGCTATAAACTGAATAAGGTGAAAACAAGACAGCGATATTGTTTAGATATATAAGGTACTTAATCATGTTCAAATAGCAAAACGTGATGATACAGGAGAGTAGGCCTAGTATAGTCTGTTTGCAGTGAAAACTTCCGATGAATTTCACTTTAAACAAAAAAGTAAATCAAGTTAAGTGAAACTAAGATTGCGAATCCTCATAATTTTACCTTGCCAAATGCACATTTAAATCTCAGAATTTTATTCAACAAAGTTGTTTAACAAACGATTATAAATTCAAATCGCTATTATTGGTTTGCATTACAAGGGGGTGAGCACAGTAGATGGAACAGTGAAACAAATGCATGTGCTGTATGTGATGGCCGTTAACTTAAACCAACACTACTTGTTCTCGGTGTTTCATTTAAAGTGCATACCCCCTTGTAATGCAAACCAATAAAAGCGATTTGAAACGATGATCGTTTGTTAAACAACTTTTATCCTAAGTTGAATAAAATTCTGAGATTGAAATGTTCAATTGGCAAGGTAAAATTATGAGGATTTGCAATCTTGTTTTCATTTTATTCGATTTACCTTTCTGTTTAGAGTGAAATTCATCGGTACGTTTTCACTGCAAACAGACTATAGTGGTTGATCCGGTAAGAGTTCCGCCCATAACCCCCACTTAAAATGTTAGGGTTTGAGTTAGAGTTAAGGTTAAGTTTAGGTCCTGACATCTGAATCTCTTTAGAAATCTGTTTATTCCCCCAAACTTCTAAACCCCCTTTAAACGTTTAAAAAAACCAAAGAATAAATAAGCATCCGATTTTTATAAAACATTGTCCCTTAGGTGACATAATCCCCCGCCGCAAATTATCAAGTCAAACTTATAAAGTAATGAAGTTTAAGATGAAGGTAAATGTCAACAAAAACATGACCAGTCAACCTCTCTTGATATCTTGCTCTTTAGTGGTTCAAACACACACATATTTTCGAGACTGACTTTGACCTTGACATGAATGTCATAGTGTATGAAATATGCAAAAAATAGTACTAAAGAAATTGCTTATTGAAAAACATTCATGGGAATTCTTGAAAGTGTATGAAGAAAATCCAGTGAACAGTTCTTGAAATATCTTGCTGACAATTCAGATTAACATGCTGAAATCTTCAAAGTGTTGTCGTGACCCTGAAAATTATGTGAAGGTCACCAAAAATGACTGAGCCCTGGGCCTTCCCTAGATGAAACTTGGTGTCAAATATGAAGAAAATCCAGTGAATATTTTTTGCGATATCTTGCTGATTATCTTCACATGCAATTTAACATGCTGAAATCTTCAAAGTGTCTCTGTGACCTTGAAAATAAAGTGAAGGTCACCAAAATCGACTGGACCCTGCGCCTTCCTTGGATGAAGTGTGGTGTGAAATATGAAGAAAATCCAGTGAACGCTTCTTGAGATAGCTTAACATGCAGGTTAACATGCTGAAATCCTCAAAGTGTCGCCATGACCTTGAAAATTATGTGAAGGTCACCAAAATCGACTGGGCCCTGCGCCTTCCCTTAATAAAGCTTGGTATTGAATATGAGGTGAGGAGAGGTGAAATTGGGTTTTATGTCGTGCTTGAGAATATTTCACTCATATGACGACATGCATGCATGTGTATGTGCGGCTGCTTGTACTAGCCCAGACTTAAGCTGGTTTCATAGTGCTAGCCCACTGAGATACCATTCCGCAGTGAAGCATGAATACACCACTCAGACACATTATACTGACTCCGAGACGACCAGTGCTCGTTGTACCCATTAATGCCGAACGCCAGGCAGGGACCAACAAGTACCATTTTTTAATGTCTTTTGGTATGCCGCGGTCGTGGATCGAACCCGTGACCTTCCGCTCTCCGGGCGGACGCTCTAACCACTACACCACGGAGGCGGTTGTATTGAATATGAAGAAAATCCAGTGAACGGTTCTTGAGACAGCTTAACATGCAGGCAAAACGTTAAAATCCCCTTGTGACCTTGAAATGAAGGTCAAGGTCACCAAAGCTGACTTGGACGTTTCTACACTGTGATGAAGCTAGGTACCAAATATGAAAAGAATCTAGTCAATGGTTCTTGAGATATTCCAATTCGTACGTACGTACAGAGCCTAATACTATATCCCCCGATTCCAGCTAAACGCGAGGAGGGTGATAAAAATCCCATCTATTCTTAGGTGTAAAATGATATTGATAAAAACATAACAAAATGGGGGTTACAAGCGGCAGTCTTTCCGTCGATCCGACAAACGCTCAGTTAGTAGAGTGTGGCACTGAAAATCACATTTGACTGGAAAATGAAATCTAGTTTTGAATTAAAATCAAACCCTGTTATTCAAAGAGATTATTTAGGTCTTTTGATGTTTAAACAGTGTCCACATCAAAATTCCTAGGTGTGATGTGTGTAGGTTTTTCAAAGTTAAAATGTACATATTATAAAACAATGAAACCACGGGCCAATCATTTCGACTACGAGTACGACGAAAATTGGTGACGCCGTGACGGTCATGTTGCGAACAATCATTATTAATGAGCAGTTGCTCTGTTATCTTTCACAACCTTTGGTACACGTTAGTTACTCTTAACTTTAATTTTTTAAAGCTAACTACCTACGTGAATGTCTTTGGTTAAAAAGCAACAAACCTCATACCAACTCTATCACTTCTTTGGAAAACGTTTATCTGTCATGCCTTGAAACCGGAAGTAAATACAAGCGGAAGTCAACACAAGCATGCGCTTTGGATATGTTTGATCACGTGACTCAAATGGTTGCGAGCAGAAAGTGTTTTTATTCTTGTCTGCTTGATGTATGCGATATCTTGGTTTTGACAGGTAGCAGTGCATAGCCAGGTATATGTTTTTTGTTTATTTTAGTGTAGTTATATCGAAATGTTCATGTCACCAATGTTAACGAGATGATAGAGGCTGAAAGTAGTTAAGACCCTTCCATAATCTTGAAGAGACAGCAGGTCGAGACGGCATTCTGCAGTGTTACTGTTAGGCATGCTCCCCACAGACAGATCTGTTTATCTTTCGCGTTAACTTCAGTTGCCTTTTGACAATGTCGACGGTGCATCTCTCGAAGCATATCTTCCACTTCATCTAGGCCTTTGATCACTAACCTGTCCATTTTTCATTTTTATCTTTGTGAAAGCTAATTATGCGATGTACATGTCTAAAATGACTAAATAATTATTGTAATGCATTGATTTACAAATTTTGTCTTATTTTTCCAAATGCAAAATTCTGTATTAGCAGTCCTTATTGGCTGATGAATATAGAGTCATATACATTTCACAGTTATACTTGCCGCTGCATTATAATGTTCAGATATTGTTTTTTTTATTTTGGCAATAATGGTGAAACTAATTTGATTTCTGTGCACAGGCATAATGTGGGTGAAATGATGAACCTCTTAATTATCATTACATGTGCATGGGAAAGGATAGTCATATAGAAACAGGAAGTCAGTTTTGATAATTTGATTCATTATCCCACCCCAAGTCCGTCATGTACATTGTCATTAAGAATGTGTAGTTTCAGCCTAGTTTTATTTGTATGTTGTCTACTGCCACACTCAGCAATATTCTGATCTGTACATGATCGAGTCTGGACCAGACAGTCCAGTGATTAATGTCATGAGCATCGATTCACACAGTTGGGATGATGTGGGTCAGCCAAGTAAACGAGCCTGAACACTCAACCCCTTTAGTCGTTTATGACAAGCACTGGGGTTGCTGAGAACCGAATCTAACCCAGATCTTCATGGGTGACTCATTATCATGATCATAGAAAAATGTCACAAGGATCAAGCCTTTGGTTTAATGCACTTTCATTTTTTAGCTGAGAACCATTGTTTAAGGTAGATAAACACCCATGCACATCACCACCGAGAGTTTCAGTGTGTGGGTTTATCATGTTTATGCTGCTTCTAGTAATATGCTGTCAATATAACAGCAGGGAACACAAAAATTGTGCTTGACAATGTGTAACAGAATATTCCTTTGCTTTGAAAACATGGTCACTTAACGTGTTAAGCACTGGGCTACCCTAACTGTAACACCTTTGTAATCACTCTCAAAAGGTTAGACCTGTGAATGTCCAGGTTAGAATGAGCCTTCAGTAACCGGTAACCTCCCAAAACTTAGACCGCCATGTCTTAGACAGCTTAAAACAACAACATTTCTGGTTCAGTGCACAACTAATTCTCAAGCTGATACCTATTTCTTATAATGGATCAGTCCAGTAGAATCAATTACACAAGCATATTTATTACAAGTTCAACAGAGATAAATAGTAAATATTAAATATGGTACTGTGTTGATCATGTCCACTGCATTTCCACAAAATTCCCATAAACTATAATATTTGTATATAACATAACATTTAATTTGCACATAACATGTAATCCTTACTGGACATTACCACGACATCCTTGGCACATTAAGCACAGCATTTATCTGATACAAAATTTCCCTAACCAAGATGAAACAAATGTCCAACTGCATCAAGGAACTGGATGTGTACATGTTTTCTCGGCTTGTTGAAGTTGCTGCTTGAGTCTTTCCAATCTGTTGTCAATCTCCTGATAATTTCGATGAACCGGAAGATGTTAGGATGTCAGTCGGCAGGGTGCGGTTCATTCTGTTATGAAATCCTTCCAAATTGGTGTTCGTTCTTGTACGGGTCTGCCTCACTTTGTTTCTGTTGTAAAGATACCCGTCAAGAAGAACTTAGGTGTACCCTTCTGTGAAGTAACAAACTCTACCTTTCGAAGTCAAGCCATATTGCCATACTGACCTATGATGATGATTGGAAGTTTAACGTCGGCTTCTGGCTGTAGCCAATGTCGCCGTTGGGGTAGGTGGGAGCTAGTGTAATAATTAATATGTTTATGATAAGGAATAAACGTCTTAAAACATGAGATGAAAATAAATAAAAGCCGATATTATGAAGGGAAAGTGATAAAAAAAAATAGCAGTAATGTTAGTTAAGAAGAGATACAGGTATAACGTAAACTTAAATGAGAGTAAGTATAAATAGGGGGCATGAATGGGGAGTGGGGGTAGGGGAGTTTGAATACTGACCTAATCTGGGGCAGGGATTTACTAATGAGATTTACACATACTTTACAACAATTGTTCTGTTTATTTCAGAGGTACTCCACTTAAGGTATCAGAACAGTTGACCCCTTTCATCTTGTGAGGAGATATTCAAATGAAAACATAGCATGCATCTTTAAACTTAATCCTGCTTGTACAGTTTATATCATTTACTTCTGAATACAAGCTAGGTCTACTCAGCAAGGAACACTAATTAGGACTGTTCCATTTCAGCCATGGGTGTTGTCTTAATTAATCCCCTTCATTAGTGTCTAAGTTATGGCTGTCTAAGATATGGTTTTGGGAGATAACCTAGTAATCCATGCTTGTCGTAAGAGGCGACTAATGGGATCGGGTGGTCAGGCTCGCTGGCTTGGTTGACACATGTCATCGGTTCCCAATTGTGCCGATCGATGCTCATGCTGTTGATCACTGGATTGTCTGGTCCAGACTTGATTATTTACAGACCGCCGCCATATTGCTGGCAAATTGCTGAGTGCCGCATAAAACTAAACTCACTCACTCACTCAAAAGGTGATGCATTTGATTATGAATTTAAACCTTTCTTTTTCAAAAGCATCTTGTTAGTTTTATTTATATTTCACACTTTATTTTATTTTCTTAAATGGAGAAAAAAAACAGCAGTGTTTCACTTGCTTCTTTCATGCCTATCAACATTTGTATGGCAAATGACTGGTAAAATATTCAGGGGTAAGGGACTTGGTCTGTGTGTGTGTTGGGGGTTGGGGTGATACCAATCTAACCCCCAAAAGCAATGCACCTCTCACACACACTCGCACATACATAATGGATGACCAGCCCCTTGGCGTCTAAAAATCATGTCACAGTTTCTTCACCAGTTGCATATTTAGTAGTCCAATAAGACGTGCTTGGAATCACCACACAGCCTAAGGTGATAATCTGATTAATCTGCATTATGGAAATGATTATCTGCAATTTGGACTGTGGTTTCAGGCAATGTATTATAATCATCTTTTGTCATGCAAGATTTTTATTTCATCAGTCATGTTATCATGGTGATCTGTATGTTAGGTTTCAATAATGATAGCCTATGAGATGATATGTATCAAAAGAGAAACTATGAGGTTTATTTCTCAACAATGCTTTTCAACATGATCAAAGTGAATTAATTTAATCGTGTTAATATACGGTAAGTATTATATTATCAAATTATGAAATTTAAAGTGTGAAATTAATTAATGTAAAAAACCCATTAAGCTATTACAGAACTTTGCAGGTTTTACTGATGTCCAATCATGTCGAGTGTTTGTTTGACTTTAAACCTGTACAAAGCACTTCACTGTTGTTGAAGTGTTAAAAATGATATTTTTGTCATGTTAATGTTGTATGAACAGATGTTTCAAATCAATTATAGGGATCCAATCATAGGTCTGTCGCTATTCAGTAAATTAAAATTCAATTTCATCCTGTATGTACTTAATAATATTACTTGGGGTTGTCTGGACAATAATTTTGTTTGTTATCATTCTGTGTCATGTTGTATATGGAAGTGAAGGTAGGTCTTTGTGTTGTCTTGGTGGAATTAAGACACCCAAAACTCATTAGACATTTTCACGGGTTTTCTCATGTCTATGCAATAACATTAACGCGTTTAAGCATGATTTGTTATTGATTAGTGTGATTCGTGTGACCGTGTCACTGCTAATCAAGGCTTCTCTATTAAACGAATTGATTACTTGTCGCTTTGATGACAAATGACAGCAGCACAGCTACAGACATGAATCGTATCCTGAGGGATTAACTAATCAATAATGTTTGGACCTGATCTTGAAAGGATTAAACCATGCCATCAGTCATGAAGTGTTACAGTTTTTACATAACAAAGATCTTTATGAGTTCCGAAGTCTATCGCAGTATGTATGTCAATACAGTTCTCCACATTCACGATACTTCAAGTAACTGCGATAAGATTTATGTATTAATACTAGGGCGGCTATTTCAACTTGCCCCCAAATTCGATAAATCACACTGTAGCCCTTTATGAAATCAGTTTGTTACCCCTGATCACAGAACTGTATATTGATGATTTTTTTAATAAGAGGTGTTCACTTTGAATTTGTGTGTAATTTATCAGACCTTGATAGGCACAATGGAATGTATTCAAGTCAGGCATTATAATCATGATAATTAAGTCAACACTCTTAAATATTTAATTTGACAGTTAATGTGGTCTGTGGACATTTTCGTGTTCAGTCAACACTGTCAACAATATTGTTCGAAAGTTATTTTATTGTTTCACTGAGTACAATAAACTGATTTGTTATTGTATTCATTATCCAATTTTCATATTTGTTCCCCAATATTCATATGTATAATATTCTCCACATAGTGGATTCGTTGTAGCACTATACATGAGGTATATAGAGAATACTACACAAGGTCTCATTACAGATGAATTATACAAAACTCGTGTCCTTCCTATGGTATCTGACCGAGCAAAAGCGAGGTCAGATAACATAGGAAGGTCACAAGTTTTGTATAATTCATATGTAATGAGACCGAGTGTGGTATTTTATTTATTACCCACATCTTACATGCATTAAATTGACAAAATAGCGTATTTTTGTTCATATTTTGATTTCAAACCGAAACCGGTTTCATTAAGAGGTTGCGGAAGAGTTTTGTACTGTAGTACAATATTTGCATGACGTCACACTGTAATGACGTCACTGCCTTGGTAACCGACGTCACGATTCATGTCAGTTGTCATGGCCTCGAACAGCCTCCTACAGTAAACTACTCCGTAGCACCCGTTTCTTGGTTTGCAGTTGCTTCATTCGGCTAACATCACTGGTGGAAACATTGCGCTTATGTTTTTCGACGGATTTAATGTCTCAGTTCGACTCACAATTAAACAGCGACATGGCAACGTTCGCAATGTTTACATTCCCACAATGCATTTAAGTTGTAGAATGAATGAATTCGCGTGCTTGTTATGAATGAAAAAATATTTACGTCAGAATGTGACCTAATTGAGAGGTCATTGGTTATCCAATCAAATCGTTAGAATCTCAGGTCAAGTCATTACGACACAGGTCAACGCGATATGACACTCGTGTGACGTACGAGATCAGTATGCAACTACCCATACGTTGACCACGTGGGTAATAAACTGGCAATATTATTTATGTGTTACTACGTCAGCCCCATTCTCTTCCCACAGAGGTTACTCCTGTCATATCTTCCTACGTAACCTCTGTTCTAATACGGCCCTTTCATGGTGTGAGCGTTCAAGACTCGTGATTGGAGACAATCAGATTTAGTTGTGCAATCAGCGACGTTGTTTCAAAAGTGATCATTCGCAAGGCCTCGGTAATTTCCGTATGCTTCGAGAAAACTAACCTTCTTCCCCTGCGCGATGCGCAAACGTTTCTTCTAGACAGAACTCAGTCATGTTATGGCGGATCAGTGGCGTCTCCATCGCCCTCGTTGACAACGGACAAGCTAGCCATTAAACGTCTTGTGTGTAACATCAACACAAGTCACCGGCAGATGGGGGATATTTGTGGCCCCACATTTGCTTGTGTTAGTCAAGTTGAATCTAAGTCGATGTAACAGGCTTTCTGATTGGATGGAAAGAAGGGAGATAATTCGTGTTGCGATCTTTTGCCGCTAGGGGATTTTACGAGAACCTGGAAATATGGCCGTATTAGAACAGAGGTTACGTAGGAAGATATGACAGGAGTAACCTCTGTGGGAAGAGAATGCGTCAACCCTAACAGCAGCAAAAACCAAGTCTCTGAACAATGTTATTGCTCAAGATCTGTTGCAAATGTGAACCACGTTTTCCATCTTGCTAACACCTTTGGTTATACTTTCAGCATGAGTGTGTCAGGCAACAGGAGGTACACGTAGCCGGAACGCAGGACGATGGTGAAGCAGGTGGGGCTGCTGTCCGCGGGCTGCCAGCCCTGGAACCACGACGTCTGTGACTCCAGCCATGACCGCTTTGCTTACTGCGCTACCTTGGCGATATATGTCTACCAGGTATGTCCACTCTGGAGCATCCTAGTGGTTAAAGCCCGTCACAATGCATGTTCGATTTTACCAAAACCCCACTCCCTATGAGGTTATGACCAGTCCTTCAATAATGTGTGTTGATATTTCATAAGCCTCACCTCCTGCTTTCCTTTTAAATAAAACCCCAAATGACCAGTCCTGAATTTGGTAATCTCCTCTTTGTGTTGTGTTTGTTTTGTTCCTTAATCTCATAAAGGCTGTGATACACTCCCTCCATTATAAATTACCAATTCTTGACATGATAATCCGGTGGTCAGTAGTGCTGATTATCGCTCACATTATGCAGATTGGTAATCTGAGCTCAGTGATCGATCAATAATCAATTGTTATCGTAAACCCCACCTCAAAACTCATGGGGCCAATAACGAGACACAACATAACAGGTTTATGCCACAATCAAGATCAATGATGCTTCCTGTTGAGTATGTTGCTTACATTGCAGTTTTACAAGTCAGGAAACTGCCACAATTTAAGTGGGGCGGTGGGGTAGCCTAGTGGTTAAGACGTTGGCTCGTCACGCCGAAGACCCGGGTTCAAATCCCCACATGGGTACAATGTGTGAAGCCCATTTAACTGGTGTCCCCCGCCGTGATGTTGCTGAAATATTGCTAAAAGCGGCGTAAACCAAAACTCAGTCAGTCAGTCAGTGAGCCACAATTTAAGTCCTGGTTTAACAAACTTAACATTGAGCCTAAAGTTTAATTTTATGTTTTATTTTTTAAATAAAAACATTGCTAATGCTATTTACTTACATTATGAAGTTAGACTCAGTACAGGTAACATTTTACATGACAAGTGCATGGCAGCAGTCAACCTCCCATAAATAATGTCTACTCATGTCGTTTGTATCTGGCTGAAATCAATTACCACAAGTAAAAAATCTGAAACAGGTCTGTTCTGAGTAGACTGCACACACTGTGATATCGGAGGTCAGAGTGCTGTATGTCACAAAGACTATGGTAGTTAGTTTGTGCACACAATCTTGTGAGGTTTCATGCAAGGTCAAGGTTACTGTGACAGGTCACGGGGTAATAGTGTACAGGTTGAATTTTCCGACATATATTCTCACATGAATAAAAATGTGCCAGACACCCTCTGATTTGGGAAGTAGCTGAAGCTGATGAAGAGCCGTCTGCTCTAACACAAACACTTTTGAATGTTACCTCTGTAACAAACAACCTTGTAGTCCTTGTGGTGTAAGCATTAAGAAGTAGGTGGACACTTTGTGTTTTAGAATTAGGTGGCTGGACTGGCTGAATGGACTGACCTTATTGTATTGTGAAAAGAAACAACTGCTCGATGTTCGGATGTTATTATCAAAAGTTTGAGAGAAGTGGAAAGCTGATTTTTTTTTAGAACTGGCTGAAAGTATTTGGGAATTAAAAAAGGTCATAAAACAGTCAAATGCACAGGAGGTCTGAATCTTCAAACTTAGTAACAGAAGTAATTCTTCACAATTATGATATGAACAATCACTCATGAGATTATGATGAGAACAAACAGACACTTTGAAACATTTAAGTTTGTTTACTTGGTGGCAAGATGTGAGTAGCCTTGTCCAGAGTTTTGTCAGTGTTTGGAATTCACAGTTAGGCTACGGATCAGAGTTTGTTATGATCTAATGAACAACGTAATCACACTTTTGGTTTCCCCTATGTATATACATGTATAAAGAAAATATACTGACAATAAATTACGCAAACTCATTTTCACATCTATTTTCACTCTCAGTTTATTTGATATTCTGAAGAACTGAAAATACATCAGGGATCAAATTAATGTTTAATTTGCGTGCCATGGCACGGTAAATATTGAAATAGCATGCATGAAATATGTTCATTGTGCCATTGGGCACGACTAAAATTATGAATATAATACACACCATGATTCATATAATGGAAAATGCAATAAATTTGACCAACTGATTCAAAACCTGTTTTACACCCGATCAAACGGTTTATCGGTATGCACTCAGTCTCACAATTTAACATGGGTGTGCCCATTCTGAATGCCAACGAGCATAACAGGAAATCCTGTTTTGGGTGAACAAAGTTTGTTAGTTAGTTTATGGATCCAGGACAAATGAAGCTGAACTATTCTTGAATAGTCTTGATAGTGTTATGAAGTCAAGCTCTCAAGCTTACAGTTTTCCCAGAAATTATTGAGAAAATCTTTGTTTCCTAATACTGATAATAGAATTGTAAAATAGGCGTTACATTATGTAGTAAGGTACTCAATATGGAGGCAACTGTTGTAGACTTAAGAATGAATCTTACAACATCAAGAGTTATCTCCTGGTAAGGTAGCAGGACTGGCTTAAGAATGAACCTGTTCAAGTTATCATAGTAGATTTGACAGCAGAAGAGAAAAGAAAGCTGGTTCTAGATGATTTTGAATGGGGCGTGACTAATGCAAAAGAGTTAGCTGGTAGACATGACATTCCTCTGTCTATAGTATACAGAACTTTGAAGAATATTCAGTCAGGAGTTGGGATTGAGCACACGACAGGGGGGGGAGGCCAAGGAAGTTCAGTCCTATGGATTGCTGGCGACTTGGACAGATTGTGAGTAGGGGGAAATTGAAAAGCGTTGAGAATATCAGAAATGAGATGATTAACGGAGGAACTCCTCAGGTATGTTATGAAATCCTTAGACAAGAATTACGAAGACTTATCTGGGTGAAAAAGTGCTGAATACCCTCACTATTGATGAAAGATGCACAAAAAAGAAGACGTTTAAACTGGTGTAGGGTCACAAAAATCAAGATTGGGATAATGTTGGGTTTTTTTCTGATGAAAGTTCTGCCTGGCTTTTTCTGAACTGTATGAAAAATTGGATAAAAGATACCAAAGCCCAAAACAAAGCCCGAAATTTCAAACGTGAGGTGGGATATCATCACTTGGAGTGACGCCGTTGTGTGTTTTCACTGGAAATTTGACAAAGGAATGATATGTTGACATCTTAAATGATCACCTCCTTCCAACAACCCGAACACTGTATGAAGATAATTGGATTTTCCAGCATGATAACGACCCAATACGCACTGTGGGCTACAAAAAACAGTGGTTGTATGACGAAAATGTTCAAGTTTTACTCTATTGAGAATGTGTGGGGACTAATGAAGGACAGAATAAACCCAAAAAAGACTTAGAACTATTGGGGATATGAAGAAAGAAGTGGTCGAATATTGTGTGAATACGCTCTCACGCGATTTCATACAAACTTTGATTGGTAATGTACCGAGGTGCCATTTCTAGGTTATGTACTGCAGGGCAAGGTCTCAAAAAGACACTTAGACTGTAAGAGAATCATATCTCAACATATTCATTTAAGTAAAACTTCTATAGTTTATATACATATATGTAGTAGATATTTGCTGAAACAACTTTCTCAATAATTTCTGGGAATACTATACAGGTTTACATGATGTTTACTGATTTATTTATCTAAATTATCCGTCTGGTGCATTTTCATCCCTGTACATCTTTTCCTTTCATAACATAATACAGTGCAGCCAATAATTGGTTGTGCAACTGCTTTAATAGTTTGGTTTCACTGGGTAAGCCAGTACAAAAAAATAAATCGTAATCTAGGGTATATATATGATACATGTTTAATAATCACAAAGAAACATTCTATATTTTCCAGTTACATCAGTATGTCCATATCCAGTATATCTTGATTTTGATAATGATCATTTACAAAATTTGGTTTTTAGTTGTCATAATGACAGTGTATAAAATAGTTTTGAAATATGGCCTGTCCAAGGACTGGCTGTCCAAAAAGGTGAATAGTCCTGAACAAACACAGCCAGTCCAAAAAACTAAAATAATGAAAAAAATAATAGATAAGACAAAGTTCAAACCAAGTTAAGTTTATTTTTTCAAATATTTCCCCTGACCAAAGGATGGCCTTGCTTATTTAATAGACAGTCCTTCACAAAAATAGACCGTCAAGGGCGGTGGGAGGGGCTATGTTTTAGACACTGATAATGATGTGATATTTAATAATCAAATGACAATCAAGCTTCATAATGTCAACATTTCAGCTTGACAGACGATTCAATGAATTCAAGCTGGTATCGATTATGTCGGAACACAAGAAGACCATCACGGCCTTCAGTTGGAACCCACGCAACCCAGACATCTTCATCAGCTCAAGCGCTGACCACAAGCTCATCGTCTGGAACATTGCAGAACAGAGAGTTATATCATTGTTGTCAAATACCAAAGAGGCCCCTTGCTCAGTAGGCTGGTGTCCGTATGATACAGATGTAATTTCCTTCATTTCATCTCGAGGGCCTATGTACTCCTGGAACTACAAGTCGAACAAGGTGACGGTGGTCAAGGAGGCTCAGAGCTTCAACAGTGATGTGTGTCAGCTGCGATGGCACCCCAAGAGTCTGGGCAAAGTGGTGTTTGGTCATGTGGATGGGAGCATATCAGTTTGTAACATAGGTAGGTTTTCATCCCAGTCCTTCGTCTAACCATGTGGTTCAGGGTAGAACAATTGGTATGTGCAGTTTTGTACGAGGTGTATGTCATGTTTTGAAGGCAAGTTGTTAAGACGTTGTTTATTTAGGAGTATATTCCCAGGGAGTTGAGAATGATAATCGGCTGAGCACTGGGCAATAATGTAGCATTTTGAGTTTATGGTGTGGATTTGGTCCATTATAAATGTGGATGTTATTGTTGTTGCTACTGCTGCTGCTGCTGCTGCTGCTATTATTATATGTAGCATCGGTTTTCAGGTTCCAAAGGTAAGAAGCATGTGTTCCGGCCTGATGACATGGAGGATTCAGAGGAAGTGGATCCTGTCACCTCCCTTGAGTGGGACCCCTTGTCCGCAGAGTACTTGCTGATGGCTAACCTCCACTACGGGGTGCGGCTGGTGGACACACAATCCCTGGTGGTCATCATGATGTTCCAGCTCCCTAGTGCTGCAGCTCATATTCAGACTCTATCCTGGGTCAGTGGGGCACCTGGCATGTTCCTTACAGGGGGTGAGTAGCACAGCTGCATATTCCTCAAGGGGAGGTAGAGCATGACATCTGCATGTGCCTGAAGAAGGATCTACAATATTCCTGAATTGGGAAGTAAAACAGGGCACCTGCTTGTCCCAGAAGGGGGAAGAGGAACAGGGCACATCTTTGTTCCTGATGGGGGAAGAAGAACACGCTTCTGCTTGTTAATGATCGGGGAGGTAGAACAGGTCACCTACTGGTCCTATGAGGAGGAAGTAGAACAGGTCACCTGTTTGTTCCTGAAGGGGGAAGTAAAACAGGGCACCTGCTTGTCCCAGAAGGGAGAAGAAGAACAGGGCACCTCTTTGTTCCTGATGGGGGAAGAAGAACACGCTTCTGCTTGTTAATGATCGGGGAGGTAGAACAGGTCACCTACTGGTCCTATAAGGAGGAAGTAGAACAGGTCACCTGTTTGTTCCTAAAGTGGGAAGTAGAATGTACTCCTGCTTGTTAATGATTGGGAAGGAAGAACAGGTCACCTGTTTGTTCCTGAAGGGGGAAGTAAAACAGGGCACCTGCTTGTCCCAGAAGGGAGAAGAGGAACAGGGCACCTCTTTGTTCCTGATGGGGGAAGAAGAACACGCTTCGACTTGGTAATGATTGGGGAGGTAGAACAAGTCACCTGTTTGTTCCTGAAGTGGGAAGTAAGACAGGTCACTTGTTTTTCCTGAAGTGAGAAGTTGAACAGGGCACCTGCTTGTCCCATTATAGGGATGTAGAACAGGTCACCTGTTTCTACCTGAAATGTGTGTGTGTGTGTTTGTTTGATTTTGTTTTTTGTTGGGTTTTTGTGTGTGTGTGTGTGTGTGTGTGTGTGTGTTAAGTACCATTAACATCTTCCTTGTTTGGTGAGAATAGAATGGGACACCTGCATGTACCTGAAGATAAAAGGAGATCTTTGCACCTGCTTGTTTCTTAATGGTAAGGGTAGCATGGGCACATGTCAGGTTTTTTAGTTTATTTGGTATGCAGCGTATAAGTAGAAGATATAAGCTTCAAAGAAAACCTGCCTACAGTTGATGACATTGCTGTTAGTTATATACACTGATGATATGTCAGTCACATGTCATATATACTCCCCATCTAAAGTTTAGACTCACTAGTGTAAATGTAGCCATTTACTAAAGTCAACTGTTCTAAAATAAATTTTGCAAAACTTTACATACTGTTTAAAGGTACTGTTTACACATGAACTGATGTATTGTAAAACACAATTGTAACGTTGAAAAGATTATTGTCATGAGTTCAATAAATGATGAAACTCAGTGAAAATTGACAAATTCGTAACAAAACTTTACACCACAACGCAGCTGTTCACATGCATGATATTTGCACATGCTTTACAGCAATTTGATGCATGATCCTCGTGCCATGTTGTGAGTTAGTGGAGAAATTCATCTTCGATGTAACCATACATAACATATAGTGAGTCTAAACTTTTGATGGGAAGTATATATATAGAACCATGAGCACCAACACTGACTCTCAGCGTCATCACGTTCCCAGATTCCCATCATGGCACATTACGGATATGGAATGTCTCAAAAAGCACACCAATTGAAAACGTCCGCTTGAAGAAAACAGGGTTCCATGCCCTACAGGTAGTCTACAACCCTTACACAGAAACAAGAGAAGAGAATTCGTCATCACGAGAAAAGTTTATATCATCAACCAGTCAGGCTATGGCTCCGTCCAAAACCACCCAGTCTAACTTTGCCCTGCCCCCAGCCAAGCTGGTCTGTACATTCAAAGATGGTGGGGTCGGTTTGTATGACCTGGGCAGGCGGAAGTGGAACTTCTTAAGAGATCAGGTAAATCAGTAGCTTTAAAATATTTAGCAATACAATATTGCTCTGCAAGTGCTAAGTGCTCACCGAAATAATGATAAAGTGTATGTACGGTAGTTACATCTGTTGTTGTAATGAATGCATCTTATGGTACTGTTATGAAATAGAACCTGTGTTAAGATCCAGGGCCGCGTTCCTCAAAGCGATCGTAGCGCTAGAATGATCGTAACTCCCATACTTTAACATTGACTTACGACTGTCGTAGCACTGCGATCGCTTTGAGGAAAGGGGCCCAGGATAGAGTTGGTCTTCAGCCAGCCATACTTGATGTGTACAGGCAATTTGCATCATCGTGGCGAGGCTCACTTGCTTCTTGATGCACATGCATCATTGTGTTCCAACTGTGTAGATTATACAAGTACTTATATATTTCAGGGACATATGGAGACCATATTTGACTGCAAGTTTAAACCGGATGATCCGGACATGTTGGCCACTGCAAGTTTTGACGGAACAATCAAAGTGTGGGATATCAATACAATGAAAGCTGTAAGTCAGCAGTGGAAATTGGGATCAAGTATGTGAATACTGTATCATATTACCAACACTGAATTTTGTGTCAGTGAAAGAATGTTGTTTTATGTCACATGGGCAGTGGGGTAACTTAGTGGAGACCGCCCCGTGGTGTAGTGGTTAGAGCGTCCGCCCGGAGAGCGGAAGGTCGCGGGTTTGATCCCCGACCACGTCAAACCAAAAGACGTTAAAATATGGTACTTGTTGGTCCCTGCTTAGCGCTCAGCATTAATGGGTACAACAAGGACTGGTCGGCTCGGAGTCAGTATACTGTGTCTGAGTGGGGTATTCATGCTTCACTGCGGCATGGTATCTCAGTGGGCTAGCACTATAAAACCAGCTTAAGTCTGGGCTAGTACAAGCAGCCGCACATGCACATACACACGCATGCACATCGTCATATGAGCGAAATATTCTCAAGCATGACGTAAAACCCAATTTCACCTCACCTCACCTCACTTAGTGGATAAAGTGTTTGATCGTCATGCAGAATTCGCTTCCCTGCATGGGTACAATGTGTGAAGCCCAATTCTGGTGTCGCCTGCCATAATATTGCTGGGATGTTGCTAAAGACAGCATAAAAAGTTACTCACTCACACAATATGACAGCTGTGTCACCTCAGCCTGTTATTGTTCTGATTTGGATTAGATACAGCTGTGATAGAGAGCATAATAGAAAATCCAAGGTGTTTGGTTCTTACCACACATATATACCAAAGTCATGTTTTTAAAAGACTGAAACATACAGGTGTATTTCTAACACATATAGGAGCTCCCTAATGTTGTCATCGGTGTAAAGACAGTGGCAGAACATGTCACTTCTAATGGCCCATCCTCACTTATCTAGTGCATTGCGGGTATATCTCTACTAGGTACCCATGACCTATTGTAATACCGTTGATAATTTACAATACTGATTATGGCATCTCATTGTAATAAATAATAATAAGTCATCTTCTATAGCGCACGTTTCCAAACACCATTCTTATTACCCCGGGATAACCCAAGCTGCCTGTTAGGTGCTAGAAGGTTATAGTCACATGAGTTTATCCAACCGGGTACCCATTTTCAGGCAATTTGAACAAACTCACTTGCCTAAGGGGCAGGACTGAAGTCCTAGAAATTCTCAAGATTTTTCAAATCAAAGGTTAAGACATTCCTCCATGGGCATGGATGGCCCTGTTGTCTAAGTCACCCTATTCTCTCTGCAGAGTTGTGCCTCTTGGGCTCGACAGACAACCACAAGGTACCAATCACACTTTGCCCCGATTATATTTCTAGGTTTGTCAAGACCATACCAGTGCTTGTGGCTTTCACCAGAATGGTAAACGTCCATTAAGACCTGCATCACTTTGGGCTTGTCTCCATATTAAACTGATGTGCCATGTTGTGACTAGAATACTGCTGAGGGCGGCAAAACTCACTCAGTACTGGCAAACAAGGATAAGATGAGCACCAACCTGACAATTGATTCGTATTATAGCATGACCAGAAATTATTGAGAATTTTAGGAATATGTTTAATTGGGATTTCTAGTATGAACAACCTTGACCAGCTATCAAGTGCTTGGTTTCATTCAAAAGAGACAACTCCGTTAATCCTTTTTCATTAGTTTGTGAAGAGTTATCCCCCTTTGTTTACTTGCTAGCAGACGACATTTTCAGTGATCCTCAGTATGGATGATTTAGAGAAGAAGAAGTTGATTTTAGAGTATTATAACAAGGACATCAGATCAGCTAAAGTGATTTCAAGTAGAACAGGCATCCCTTTGTCCACTGTTTATCATGTTTTGAAAAATATTGCAAATGGATATGGCATTAAGCACCAGGGAGGCGCAGGTAGGCCCAGAAAATAAGGCTGGATATGATTGATAGAGGAACTGTGGCTGCCTGTAAGGAGACAATTAGAACTGAGCTGCATGCAATGGGTTGGCAGAAAAGTCGAGGAATTCCATCACCGATCATGAAACCTGAACAAAAGGAGCGAAGGTTGAACTGGTGCTTACAGCATAGAAATTTTAACTGGGACAATGTGATTTTCTCAGATGAAATTTCTGTGTGGCTGTTTCCTAATACACTGAAATTCTGGACCAAACAAACTGAAAAACGTTTGTATCAGCTCCCAAAGTACAGTCCGAAATTTAACGTGTGGGGTGGCATATTTGTGTTAGGGGCAGCGCCCCTCTGTATTTGAAGGGAATATGAACAGTGAGCGGTACACAGACATTCACAAGGGACATTTACTTCCATCTGTTCACGTGTTCTATGGAAAGTTTTGGATTTTCCAGCAGGACAACGACCCAAAACATCGTTCAAAGAATTCACAGGCCTGGTTTCGGACCCAAAATATGACATTATTAGATTGGCCAAGCTATAGCCATGACCTAAATCCAATAGAAAATGTTTGGGGACTTATGAAGGAAAGTGTCAATAAGAAAAATCTGACAAATATTGCTGAAATGAAAGAAGAGGTGGTCCGATATTGGGACAGCATGGACCACGACTTTCTAAATTCTTTGATCAGTAGTATGCCCCACCGCATTGAAGCCTGCATTGCTGCCCATGGTGACTTGACAAAATACTAAATGTTCACCTGTCTTTGAATCTGGAGTTATGTTCTGCTAATATTCACATTAAATACGTGAGTAATGAGTGAATTTTTTGTTAAAAATTACAATCTTTAAAATCTCACTAATTTCTGGTTGTACTGTAGCATGTATGAGTGCCGCCCACTGGCACTTGCCATTATTAGCGAAGGGGCCCCAGGTTGGCCGTGATCAAGTGTGGTGGAACTTGTCACATCGACGTGAGAGTCTTATGAGCAAGGTGTGTGCAGCTACGTGCAGAATCAATTTCATCGTCATGCAATGCACCTGCACTAGCCTACATCTGCTCAACCTTTCACAAACCAAATGGGTTTGCTGTGCACCGCCTACTTCTCGTAAATGCGTTCTCTGCGCCGGTCCAACTTGCCCTTGTGTGCCAGTAACTCCTACTCCCTGCCAGCAATAATGCCTCGAATACATTCATATGTGCCGTGTTTGACACAAGTGTTTTGTCTGCCAGGTGTTCTCATCAGTGGGTAACGAGGGTGTGATATATCATATATCATGGGCCCCTGGAAACCTGGACTGTATAGCAGCATGTACTTCCAAGAATGGTGTGTTCATATGGGACATCCGGGAAAGGAAAAGTCATCAAGAGATTCAATGAGGTGGGGAACCGTTTGTTTATTTGTTTAAGGAAATGTTTGTAACGTTTACATTCTCAGTCAGATCATATATATGTTAGGACTTGACTTTCCAGTGTTTCGGTGAAGGAGGAATGATCAGTGCAGAGTTGAACAATAAACAAGAAGCTTTTGTGACATTGACTGATGCTCCCCCTTCATCAGCCTCATCCAGTTCTGATTACACACAATGAATGATATTTAATATTGCTGAAAATAAGACATTAAACTGCTTTTAAGAAACTGCTTTTCTCTCCACAAATTTATGATAAATCGACTGTATGTTGTATTGCAGCATGGGAAGAGCAGTGTGTACTCGGTTTCCTGGAGCCAGAAGGACTCCAAGAGGATCATGTCTTGTGGCGCTGATGGATATTGGTAAGATTTCACTTAAGAGATACAGAGTATCTTGTAACTTCAGAAAGCAGAAGAGTGATAATGCCCAGATATGTGCAGTGCTAATCAGAGGTTAAAAAAATCTGATTGCCCAATGACTGGGACAGGTGAATTTTCATTTTGGGCAAGCAAAATTATGTGTCACTATTTGTTGGTAAGCCAGTGCATCATTTGGAGGTCAGCAGATCCATATTATGGTGCACATTGTAGTCCTGTTGTTACAATGCTATCTGGTTATAAAGAGTTTCTTTCTTTTTCTGTATAATCTATTCCACTGATTGTGTTTGACCATTCATATAGTACTGTTGCATTGATCCAGAGTGAAATTGATTAGCAGATTGCACCAAAAAGTACAGCATCTTGAATTCTTTTTTGAATGTATTGTATACTTACTATTGCTATATTATTTGGGATTATTTTGCTATATCATTAGCCAGTTACATGTTATAATAAAAGTCACTACACATGTGAAAGCACCTTTGCATAACAGTCAAGCAATGTGACTATCTTCATCATGCATCCCATGTTGTATCTGTGTCGCCAGCATCGTGCGGCAAGTGGATGGTCAATTGGTCCAGAAGTATAGACATCCTGGGGCTGTGTTTGGTGGAGACTGGAGTCCTAACAACAAGTAGGTGCATACTGTGAACTTACTTATTTTCGCGTGGTGCAATTTTTGGCGGAATTGACAGTTTAGACTACATCGTGCGGTTAATTATTCGCGCAATCAGTAATTGCCGGAACTGCCAGCTGTCTCTTTGGCCGCCACTAATAGCTGTGAAAACAAACAGAGTGGCTTAACCTGTCAGGCGGCGTTTATTACTTACTCACAGGAAATCCCTATCTGTGCGATATACTAGTACACAGTAATCCGTTCACTCACGGAAGAGATGAAAAACACATCAGCCTTTTGTTCCGAATTCTGACGATCTGACGAATTAACTTCTACAGTATATGAAGCTCTTTGTGATTTAAAACAAGCCGGGTTGTTGTGAATGAGATGATTGAGTGTTAAGTGACTATTTGCTTCATGATGTACTGGTAAATAAAATCTTAATGAATAAATAAAATACTGCTGTATTATTTCTTTCCAAGTTGTTTCATGGTAATCTGTTTTGTATCAAACCATCTGTCATGTGACCAATTTCCATGGCGGCCACAACACACATTGCTGTTTTCGCTAATTCGGCGATGGGATTTGGTTCATTATTTAATTATGTTTTGGGAAATCCATTATAGCGACAGTTAAGTATGATTCTTTATGCTACTATCAGTCGTCATTTTAAGATTCCCGTAGATTTCTGTCTTCAAACTTGATGTGTTATGGTAACAACTCAGGGGCGAGCGTGGCTAGACTGAATGAATGACAGGTTTATTCGCGGTGTATAAATTTTCGCGCTAAAATGTTTTGCGCGAAAAGCGCGAAAATAAAACCTGCGCGAAATATAATACGTTTACAGTACTCCCCAGGGAGCTGAGAATCAAGTATGAGTGTCTGTTAGATAGGCACAGGAATGCTTAGTGAAGATGTGATGTGTTATATGGTTTGTTTTTTTGTTGTTATTATTAGTGCATCTGAGCATTCTCCTATCATCTTGTCAGCTAGTTCTTATCAAGTGAGTGAGTTAAGTTTTACACTGGTTTTAGCAATATTCCAGCAGTATCACCGCAGGGGACACCAGAAATGGATTTCACACATTGTACCCACGTGGGTAATCTAACCCAGGTATTCAGCGTGTGAAGCTGTGATATGTGTTTTTTTAGGGTTTTGTTGTTGTTGTTTTATTATCTTTACATCTGAGCATTCTCCTATCATCTTGTCAGCTTGTTCCTACCAAGTAGGTTCCTGTTAGATAGGCAAGGTGTGCTTTGTGAAGATGTGATATGCTATGTGTTTTTTTAGGGTTTTTGTTGTTTTATTATTATTACATCTGAGCATTCTATCATCTTGACAGCTAGTTATTAGCAAGAGTATATGCATGGCATGGTTCTCTTTGTGTGCTGGTTACATATGTTATCTAGGTGACTTTGTTCAAACAATCTAAACATGATCAGTGTATGTATCAAGACATTCTCCTATAGCTGAATGCGGCGTAAAACTAAACTAAAACTAAAACTAAACCTATAGCTCTTGTCCTCTTGTTCTTAATAAGACTTACATGGGTTAACTCGCACTAATCCATCTTAGTTGTACAACTCAGTCTATGTTATAGTAGGGTAGGTGGGGTAACCTAGTGGTTAAAGCATTCACTCGTCACGCCGAAGACCCATGTTCGATTTGTGTGAAGCCCATTTCTGGTGTCCGCCGCTGTAATATTGCTGGAATATTGCTAAAAGCGACCTAAAACTAAACACTCACTATGTTATAGTAAGGGAATTCAATCCCTGTAACTCTAAGATCACTTTGTGAAAGTTCCCCTTCGTTGTGCTGTTATAGAGATATCCTGGCCACGGGTTGTGAAGACAAGTGTGTGAGAGTGTACTACCTGGCCACCAGCAGCGACCAGCCACTTCGGGTCTTCACAGGTACACACACGTTATACTGATTCACTATGTGTGAAGGGAAGGAATAGTGTTCAATGTCGCAGTCAAGATTATTGCTCTTATCTAGCGATGTGAGTGCCCAGTACCGCACATGCACACTTACACACGCACACATGCACGCACGCACACGCACATGATCACAAACACACACGCACATGATCACAAACACACACACACACACACACACACACACATACACACACACACACACACACACACACACACACACACACGATCACAACCACACACAGCCTTTCACAACATCCAGCTGTTTGTAACAGTGACAGGTGTCACTATTACAAGGTAATATAAGACGTGACTTACTTGGGGCTACACACAAACATCTGAATTAGAAGTTACCTGGACCCATGAAGATCCGGGTTAGAATAAGCAGAGCTCCAGACAACTTTTTGGGTCATTGAGTTATGTACTCACTTGTGTTCATCTCAATTGGGTATCCTAATTTTCCTTTGAGTAACCAAATAAATTGTACTCACCTCACTCAAAGACATTTGGGTATTTTGCCATTTTCCATTAATTTTGAAAATGTAATAAAGTTTAAATGTCAGTGTTTTTTATTTTATTTTATCTGTATTATGAGAAACTGAAAGTTGTCAAGTTCATTTCCTGAAATAGAACCTCTCAGTATACCTCAGTTATTTTATCTATCCCCCGGAACGCAAGTTAAGATTTGACATTTTTGTGTGTACGCATGTAAGATCACATTTATTGAGTATTTACAAAAGTTCAAGCGTACTTTTACGCAATAGACTTAATAGGAATTGAGATTTCACATAAATATTTGGGTAATTTACGCAGATACGCAGCTTATCTGTACCTCTGAATTAGTTCCAGCAACCCATGCTTGTTGTAAGAGGTGACTACCGGGATCGGGTGTTCTGGCTCACTGACATGTCTTTGTATCCAAATTGCGGACATTGACCCACCTACTGTTGATCACTGGATTGTCTGGTCCAGACTTGATTATTTACAGACTGCCACCAAATAGCTGGAATATTGCAGAGTGCAGTATAAAATCAATCTGTGTGTCAATGTTACATGTTTGCTGACCTTTTTCTGTACTGAGAAGTATCTTCTGTTCCTCTCTTCAAAGGACATACAGCTAAGGTGTTCCATGTGCGATGGTCACCGCTGAGAGAGGGAATTCTATGCAGTGGATCAGATGACGGGTAGGTTTATTTCTCACCATATCTAGTTTGGCATCACCTGACATATAACTATGGTAGTCTTAATTTATTACTTACTACCTGGAATGCATTATGATTCTGTTGGAATTTTCAACAAGAATAATATTCACAAAAATTCTGCAATATTAATCTTATCTTGGATATTTACAGAAAAATATAACTTGTGTTCAATGAACATGCTTGATATTCTGAAGAAATATGTTTAATGTATGCAAAGAAACTTGCTTGGCACAGTTGGAAAAACTACTGTGACTGAGAATTTCTTTCTTAGACAAAAACACATGCCTGAAAAATATATGGCTGTTTAGTTTCTGAATCATTGCTTGTAAGAGCACTGTTTGAATGGCCGAACAATTTAACGTTGTGATATGTTTGTGTCAGCACGATACGAGTGTGGGACTACACGCAGGAGCAGTGCATCAACGTCCTGTGTGGACACACCGACCCTATCCGAGGTCTACTCTGGAACACAGAGATACCATACATGTTGATCTCTGGCAGCTGGGACTACTCAATACGGATCTGGGACACCCGAGACGGAGCCTGTATAGACACCGTGCTGGACCATGGAGCTGATGTGTATGGTGAGTGAGTGAATGTGTTCAGCTATCTGAGACTTCCCAGACAGCCCTGTATAGGCTCAGGATACTGTACTAATATCTCCAGATATATGGCGGAACTATAAAATTGTTTTTTGTTCACAGGTCTGACTTGTCATCCGGAGCGGCCTTTTTTGCTAGCTTCCTGTTCAAGGGATTCCACAGTGAGGCTCTGGTCCTTGACCTCTCTCATTCAGCCAATAGAATTACACATTCTAGCAGGAAAGCCAATCAGTGATGTTGTTGGAGTTTCAGGTAAAAATCAACTTTATCATCATTGCAGAACTGATGTTAACAAAAACACATCAAGGGAGATAAATCTTCAGTTACACATTTTTTATCTCCCTTTATTTGGGTTTATTAAGATGGGAGTTTTTCTGGATAATCATAACAGGTGAAGTTGCACTCTGTTCCATTGAATTACACAAGCAACAAGAAGTGGTTTGCATGTACAGTGATTGTTACAGACTCCGCCATGTCGCTGGGAACATCGCCCATGTTGGCTGGGAGGGAATCGAAGGAGCTGAGGCAGCGGATAGAAAACATGCCAGGGAAGGCTATAGCCAATCAGATCAAGTTCTTCTCCAAGTTCTTTGCTGTAAGTTCAAGAAATACTCACAAACTTGCTGATATCATCGTTTCAATTTTAATTCTGATTAGTCTCCTTCATGCCAAAGAGACGTGTTGTGATAATGAGAATCAAAAGGCAAACCTTACCTGTTGTGTACTTTATGCAACAGAGCTATTAGAGTTGTAGGGATATCTGATAGGGGTGACACAGACCTGAGAGAGAGAAATGTCCTTGATCCACTCAGTGTGCAAAATAGTTTCCAAGTTTTGCTAGCCAGTCGAGCTAGCTTTGCCTGAAAGTTACTAGCCCACAAAATAATTCTCTAGCCCGAATGTAGAAACTAAGCAAAATATTACAAAATAGATGAGAATAAGATATTGTTGGCATGACACGGGTCTCATCATTAAGCTGCTAATGTGATGAACATTTTTATCAGGCCATAATCTTGCATGATTTAAAAGTGTATTATAACTAAACAAGTCAGAGGGAGTGACATATTTACAAAATGAACCCCTGAGAATTCACTAGCGAGTCAGGGGCCAGTGACTGTGGAGATTCTCTGGCCCGACTGGATTTTTACTAGCCACGGGCTAGCAGGGCCAGTGTCTATTTCGCACACTGGATCCACTGTTGATATTGGTATTTCAGCAACCAACCGGTACCAACAACCTGTGGGAGTTGGTGTCTGTTGTGATGGGGGCCGACAACGCACTGCTGTCTCCGGAATACAAGACAGGGATCATGCACAGCAAACATCTCACCATGTACAAAGCGGTCAGTTGAACTTTAAGAAATTGGTCAGGGATGTGGGGTAGAAGTAGAATAACTGGCTCAATGATTGTGAAAGTTAGTATCCCTTAGTCCCCAGTGCATGTAACATTGTGATTTTCATTAAATAAAAAATCATGTATTTGCCTCATACACGATGTCATGAAGTTTCAGTTTTGTTTATCAGATTGAACAGTTCTGATATCAGTAGTATTCTTAGGATGAAAGAAAGTTTCTTCCTTCGGGCAGAGGCATAAATAATGTCTCCTTGATATCAGAACTATGTTCTAGAACACGTATTCAGTTCCAGATTGTAGCCAAGTTGAAGCATTGATTCATAGCCTTCCTCATTCTACTGACAGTCTGAAGCCCAGGAGCTGGAGATGGTGAAGATGTCTCGGCATGGCAGCGGTATCGGGGCCCCCAGCAAGGAGGAGTCTCTGAGGGAGGCAGCAGCCGTCCACATCAAGCTGGGCAACATCCAGCGCTACTGTGAACTCATGGTGGAGGTGGGCGAGGTAAGACCAACATGCAGAACAACATGCAATAGGAAATCAGTATGTGTCTTGATGTGAAATTATTGGAGTTATTTGATGTGCCAATCAAGATGGGTGGAAGTATGTTCACCTGTCTGTCTTATGTACAGATATACTGTCAAATCATACAAGTTCCGGGCAAAAATAGAATGATGACAGCGGTGAAATGTTGCAAATAAAAATACTGGCTTTTGGCTTATATTTGCATCTTTCATGAAGAACAAGTCTTTAAATAGAACATTAAAATACTACAAATGACATTGGTGTTGTGCATGAATTATATATGGGTATGGTTAGTCACTGTTTGTGTCTCCTGTAAAGAGTGTCAATGTATAACTCCACTACATTTGTTGTTCCAGTGGCACAAAGCTCTAATTGTGGCTCCCGGTGTTTCAATGGCGTACTGGAAATCTCTGTCTGGAAGGTGAGACATTGCATGCTAGTGTCAGACATTCTGTGATTGAATAGGTTGGCTGAGGGGTGAGGGATTCTGGGTTATAGCTGGTCCCCAGCAACCTCAGTTGATGGTAAGTGTTGACCATGTAGAAAGGATTTTTCAGGTTTGTTAACTTGGCCGTGTGCTATCATAACCTGACAACATGGATCATTGCTCACAATATTGATCCTGAATTGTCTGGTCTAGGCTGGATCATTGCTCACAATATTGATCCTGAATTGTCTGGTCCAGGCTGGATCATTGCTCACAATATTGATCCTGAATTGTCTGGTCCAAACTGGATCATTGTTTACACTATTGATCCCGAATTGTCTGATCCAGACTGGATCATTGTGTACAGTATTGATCCTGAATTGTCTGATCCAGACTGGATCATTGTTTACACTATTGATCCTGAATTGTCTGGTCCAGGCTGGATCATTGTGTACACTATTGATCCTGAATTGTCTGATCCAGACTGGATCATTGTTTACACTATTGATCCTGAATTGTCTGGTCCAGGCTGGATCATTGCTCACAATATTGATCCTGAATTGTCTGGTCCAGGCTGGATCATTGCTCAATATTGATCCTGAATTGTCTGGTCCAGACTGGATCATTGTTTACACTATTGATCCCGAATTGTCTGATCCAGACTGGATCATTGTGTACAGTATTGATCCTGAATTGTCTGATCCAGACTGGATCATTGTTTACACTATTGATCCTGAATTGTCTGGTCCAGGCTGGATCATTGTGTACACTATTGATCCTGAATTGTCTGGTCCAGACTGGATCATTGCTTACACTATTGATCCTGAATTGTCTGGTCCAGACTGGATCATTGTTTACAATATTGATCCTGAATTGTCTGGTCCAGGCTGGATCATGAATTGTCTGGTCCAGGCTGGATCATTGCTTACAATATTGATCCTGAATTGTCTGGTCCAGGCTGGATCATTGTTCACAATATTGATCCTGAATTGTCTGGTCCAGACTGGATCATTGTTTACAATATTGATCCTGAATTGTCTGGTCAAGGCTGGATCATTGTTCGAAATATTGATCCTGAATTGTCTTGTCTTGGTTTGAGTAATTACAGTCTACCTATCATATTATTGGAATATTGCTGAGTATATGAGTATCAACAACAAATACAGTGAAACCTGTCTAAACCAGCACCCCCACGGGATCGAAATAAAATGGTGGTTTAGACAGGGTGCCGGATTAGACAGTGATCATCATTTTCCAACATGGCTGCCATTTAAACTCGTGAGTCTCTCAATCTAGCATGCCGAGAAGTGTGTATTTGATAAAGGGACCCTGACTGGACTGCTCATACATATGCCGGCTTAGAGCGTTTGATTCACTACGCAATCACTACTTCCTGATTATCTAGCGTGCCAAGAGGATTAAATAGTGTATTGGATTATGGTTCCTTGATTGGACTGCTCATACCCATGCTGGTTTATACAGTGTTAATTAGGAGATAAACATACTGTGAGAAAAAATCAGAGGATATAAGGCATTAAAATTTCTTCAGCATTTGCTGTTAAATGCATCATCCATTACCGGATCAAGATCAGTGGCAATATCGTTGACTAAAGCTGATAGTAAATTTAATACGGAAATTATGTAGCAGTCTTTTACTGGATCTATTTTGACATAGCATAGAATCAACATAAACATATTTTTCTTGCTGAATTTTTATTTGGCAGACGATGTTTTGATCTTGTTCGACTGAATATTTGTTTCCATGCTTTCAAAGTACTTTTGTATGTATAAACACCTATTGCTGTGATTTACGCAAGTAGTGAGTCGGGCCCGTCATCGCTAAATCCATCTTTAAAGACATATGTGTAATTTCCAACAGCAAAATCGCCGTAATTTATCGATGCATCAGTAGTTTGTTGGTGGGCAGACAAAAAATAGTGCATTACCGTAAACCATGTGTAATTACGCACGGAAAATCAGAGACCTGTATAACGTGATTATATACCTCTGAATGAAGTGAATTAACCAATCACAATCCAGTGTTTACTGAAGTCATGGTAGAATTACAGTTAAAATTGCTTGTTGGGACCAGAAAGTCGTTCCGGATTAGACAATGTCTTAATGATAATAATATCGTTGTAAAATGGTGGGGCCAAAATTTTATGCCGGTTTTGGCAGTGTGCCGGATTAGACAGGTGCCGCGGTGTTGGCAGGTTTCACTGTTATAATTAAAAATCACAGAGCCTAAAAACATAAAACAGCCTAAAAGTTCTACCATTCTGTTTATCAAGATATGCACAGTCTCTGATGACTGAAGAGAAGGATGACGCTATCCCATTGCTGGTAGCCACCAGTAACAGCGATTCCCTTGTAGACTACTTGTCATCTCAAGGACAGATGATTGATGCATTACTGACTGCCCAGGCAGCCTGGGAGGGTTTCTACCCACAACATGTACGGGCGTCAGCAGCGCCTAGCTCTGCTGTCAACGGGTGTGACTCACCCACAGAGGATCAGCTCAGGTAGGAGAAGAAAAGATGCTGAGCAAAGCTCTGACTTTTTCTCATGATTAGTGCATCCTATCTGCCATCCAAAATAAGAGATTCAGGAACTTTGACTGACTCAAGACTTGTCTCTTCAAGGAAGCTTTTGACTAGATCTTTCATCGCCTAAGCAGAGAGACTAGTTATAATTTGGCAAGTGCACTGTACAAATTGAATAGTGCTGGCTGCAATGTGTGACCAGGGTGCCATTGTACAAATTACCTTAAGTGTATGTTAAGGCATGGGAGTTACGGTCACCTTAGCGCTAATTTAGCTTTGTACAACGGCACCCAGATAGGTATGTTATTGTTGGAATTATTACATCCATGGGTGAGTGAGGCCCTTTTAAATCCCCACCTCAACTGCATGTTACATTAGAACTAAGAGTCAATCATGCACAGATACAAGATGTTGTTTCTAAATTCGTTTCAAAATTTTGACAGCTAAGTTGAGCAACTGATTGACTGAGAGATATAATCTATGATGTTGAATACATGAATTAACACTCATGTTCCAGCCTGGTTCGCCATGCCACCACCCAGCTAGCCAAGTGGTACTACAACAACGGTCTTCCAATCCTGGCGGCATGCTGTCATATGGCTGTAGATGACTGCCAGGTACTGTTGCATCATAAACTGATCCAACCTGTGAAGATCCAAGTTAGAATTAATTTTCAGTAACCCATGCTTGTCGTATATTGGAATATTGCTGAGTGTGGTGTAAAACAACTAATCAACCAACAATCATAAACTAATCCAATGGTACTTGTAGCTGCCATGCCTCGGACTCTGCTTTCCTGTTGGCTTGGAGACCGCCTCCGTGGTGTAGTGGTTTGAGCGTCCCCCGGAGAGCGGAAGGTCGCGGGTTCGATCCTCGACCGCGTCACACCAAGAGACGTTAAAATATGGTACTTGTTGGTCCCTGCCTGGCATTCGGCATTAATGGGTACAACAAGGACTGGTCCGCTCGGAGTCAGTATAATGTGTCTGAGTGGGGTATTCATGCTTCAGTGCGGCGTGGTATCTCAGCGGGCTAGCACTATAAAACCAGCTTAAGTCTGGTGTACAAGCATCTAACCACACGATGCACGCATATGAGCCAATCATAAGTTAAACCCAATTTCACCTCACCTCACCTGTTGGCTTGAAGTCTGTAGTGGGATGCTCAAGTTAAACTATGGCATAATATTTAAGTGGTTGAATTCAATATGTGTAACTCAAGACTAGTTCAAGCAGCCATGCACAATAGCCTTTAAACCCCATTTCTTCTTAATTTATATTTTACAAATTTAGCATTTGGCAGTTGGTTTAGGATGTCATGAAGTCATCAAACCGTTAAGTCTTCTTCAGGATTCCATGTTAGAACTGGTCCCCAGCAACCTGTGCATAATTCAAATTTCCATCATTAATACAACAGTCCAATCTCGGTTACATTCATCATGGTGTTGGGGAAGGTGGGGAAGCCCAGTGGTTAAAGCATTCGCTCATCACACCAAAGACATGGGTTTGATTCCCAACATGGGTGAAGCCCATTTCTGGTGTCCCCCGCCGTGATATTGCTGGAATATTGCTAAAAGCGGCGTTAAACTAAACTCACTCATCATGGTGTAGTCATTTTAACAGTTTGCATGTATGTATGCTGCTGCTAGACAAGACTAGAATTCTATGAGAGTATAATAAAAAATAAGTCTTGACTCTGATATGGCTTGTACAAAACAGTTGATCAGTTTATCTCCTTGTCCTGTGTGTAACGTCTCTTCTATGACACATTTCAGAGCACCATGTCAAAACTTATTCAAGGCAACGAACTAGAACTTGCAGTAGGAGTAGGCACGGTCCTCCAGTCAACACCGCAGCACCTCTCTATAGCCACGGAGCTTCTCTCTCGGCGATGTGAGGCGCTGGGGAAATGGTATGTAGAAAAATACATGCTAAAATGTTAGCTTTGTTAGCCAATCAACTGTCATGGTATCACTTGTAATGTGTTTGTTTGATCAGGGAAGTGTAGCTGAAAGCTTGCTTCAGCCAGCTCATAGGTGACATAAACCTTGTCAGGGTCCTTATTGCCCATTGTCTATTCACCCATGAAGGTCCAGGTTAGAATTGGTCTTCAGTAACCCATGCTTGTCGTAAGAGGTGACTAACGGGATCGGGTGGTCAGGCTCGCTGACTTGTTTGACACATGTCGTCAGTTCCCAATTGTGCAGATTGATGCTCATGATGTTGATCACTGGATTGTCTGGTCCAGACTCAATTATTTACAGACCGCCTCCATATAGCTGGAATATTGCTGAGTGAGGCGTAAAACTAAACTCACTCACTCATTGTCTATTCACGGGTTCATTACATGGGTAGGAGGACAGTAGGGTTGCAACATGTCACTGTTGAGGTGAATATCATACATATAAAAAATATTGGGTAAGAGGGAGTAGGTATGGTTTTATGCCCCTTTTAGCAATATTCCAGCAATATCATGGCGAGGAACACCAGAAATGGGCTTCACACATTGTACACATGTGGAGATCAAACCCAGGTTTTGGGCATGAGGAGCAAACCCGCTTTTACCATTATGCAACCGAACCACCTCTATTGGATAAAAAATACAATAGCAAGTCAGCAATACACAATGCCATTTAGAAAGAGGTCAAATGGGATCACCAGTTGTCGACTTCCATTTTGTGGAAGCCTCCATAGTTGAGTGGGTTAGGTGCCTGACTCTGAGGTTGTGGGTTTGAATCCCAGATGAAACTCAACCCAGCAAAAGTACTAGAATCTGTACTTTACTGAGAAAGTGTAATCCCAAATGTAACAAGGTGTTAAACAAGTCAACAGTTGTGCATTATATTCAGTTAAACAATAACACAATATTTTCTTTGGCATGTTTTGGCCATGTTGACTGTGTTATTCTTTTTCATAGAGATCGTCCTTGGGGTACATATATGCATTTTCTGCAGCTGAAAATGTCATGTGACAGTTGTATCAATGTTTTAATAAAAATATTGTACAATAAATAAAATCTTTTTTATCTATTGTACGGCCCCCACCACGTGGAGTTACCTCCCTGCTATGCATGCACAATCAACCAGAGGCGTGTTCAGAATCGCGAGAGTGCCCGCTAACGCAGAAGCGAAGCCGATCCTGAACGCCCAGGTCCGCGGCGAAGGCCCGAGCCACGACGAACCATTCTCACAGCTGCCTCGCCAAGCGAACAAAGATGGCGATCATGTTTAAGGACATTCGTCACCACTCGCTCCTTTCCGTAACCTCCAAAAAGAGTGAGTGAGTTAAGATTTAAAGTCACATTGGCAATTGGCAATATTTCAGCCATATCGTGACTAAAAATAGTTCTAAATTTATAATACATACATATAATATGTAAAACCCTGTCAACGAAGGAGCAGTAAAACCACTAGATTATCACAGACTGAGTTAAAACTAGCTAGCATATATCTTTAAAAGCAGAAAATTATTTCCGGACAGTACAATGTAAAATTGGGCTATAGATCGCCAGCAACTGAAGGTAGATCACAATACTAGGGACCATGGGTACTTACAGTGTTTTTGCTACCTGCATGGAACCTCCAAAAAGAAGGCATGGAGGATATTTTGTTAATGTTGTCAAAAAACATGTATATTTCATCGAGTGGTCTGACAAAGTTGATATGTTCACGAGTGGCGTAACCATTGACAACATTAACAAAATATTCCTTTATTATATTTTGATCATTGTTTATAAATGATCGAGACATCGATTTCGTAGTTCACGTTTCGTAGTTCCAGGCAAAAGGGATATTCTACTCAGTGAAAATGAAAATACCGTTTTCTTTTCACCAATATTTACAGTATTTCACCCTTAAGAATATAATAAAAGAAGCTATTCGGCTTGTACCGGAACAACACGAGTTGGTCACGAATGGTTTATTGTAACCAAGCCAACGCGTCCGATCAGGGTCGGCGCGAAGCGCCGCTGGAGTCAATCGTGGCCATCGCGGTCCTGAACACGCCTCAGGTAAGCACCTAGGCCCGTATCATCATTCCTTCTGCTGTCACTCTAGCGTTCACACATATTTACCCAAGAGTTACAAGCAGATTTACTTCTTGTAGAAGAATGTCTGAGACTTCAACTACTGTATGTATGGTCTTCATTCGTTTTGAGAAACGTTTTATGGACTTTGCAGTCTGTTATTTCTCATTTATGTGACTTTGTATTAAACTTTTACGCTAGCTGAGTGGTTTACGCACGTGTTGCTATTCCATGGCGGGAAGTTTAGCATGCCAAGTGGTTGAAATATTGCGTTATTAACCAAGTATTTCATGTCGCGTTGTTGCATTCACGTAATTTTCAATGTTTTGTACGTGTATATTTATGCTGTTGTGTTTTCAGGCGTTTACGGGGTGTGCTGCCTGCGGGCAAAATATTCCCTGTTCAGATAAGCATGACAAATGCTTATGCTGCCTGGAGAAGGCAGGGCATAACCCTGACATCTGTGAGTTGTGCATGGGCTTCTCCCCCCGGGTCCTGAAGAGACAGGCGGCTGACTTCCTTTGTTATAAGGAATTGCGTGAGGCGGGAGGGGACTTGACCAAGGAGCTTCCCCCGTCCAAGGCCAAAAAGGCTAAGCAAACTAAATCTAAGTCTATTTCGCAGAGGTCGAGAGACCGGGGGTGGGATCGCCGAGCTCGGCTCGATCCCTTGGCCTGGAGGCGTCTGTCGATCCTTTGCCTTTGGCTTCGGATCCGGACGCCTCGGCTGCCCCGGAGGGGGAGGGTTCGCTCCCAGTCCCTCTCTCGGTGTTGGCGCAGGGTCTGTTGAGGATTCTTAGGGTTCTGATCCCTGCACCACCCCACCTCATGAGAGCGGAGGAGCCGGTTCTGCCTGGCCTTCCTCCCAGGTCTCGGAACCGGGGTCTATTGAGGTTAGTGAGGTCGAAGAGTCGGAGGGTACTTACCGTTTTTCGTCAGCTCTCCGGGAGGTTAGGCAACGTATTGCCGAGTATATTCCCCAAGCCGCGGTGCCGACATGTTGCTCAGACTCGACTGAGTTCCGCCTGCCGGAGGCATTTGCCCCTAGGCAGCCCTCTCAGACACAGCTCTGTATCTTGCCTTCCCTGGTGCAGGACGTGATGGATACCCTCCTGGTTGGTTCTCGCCTACTGTTCTATCTACCCAAACTCGTTAAGAGGTATCACCTGGGGGATGATTCTCTGTTCTTTGTGCCGGTGGTTGACGAGTGCGTGTTTATTTTGGTCGCCCTCGGGGGAGGCTCGGCTTCCTCAGGTGCAGCCCTCGCTGCCAATCAAGGGCGATTAGTACCACTGTTTGCCCTAGCGGGCGCCCCCCTGCAACTAACATACCAGACTTATGATCCGCCAACTATCCGAAGTACAGGCCCATCGGACTCTTTACGGTCTGCCACGTCTACGGTGATGTGCCCAGTCATGGGGATGCACAAGCTGTGGCTGTCTACATCCCGTTATTCGGCAGCAACACAGCAGACCTTGCTCGCCCTTCCGTTTCGGCTGGGAGCAACGTTGTTTCCGGGGGCACAGCAGATTATTCGGGAGGCTGCTCTAGCAGCTGGCTCCTTCAAGGACTCTAAGGCCTTGTTGGAGCAACCACGGGCTTCTCGCTCCCTCGCTCCCGTAGCGGGTTCCTCCTCCGGGGCTCAGCCTACGCCCGAGTCTGCCAGCTGGCCTCGGCCGCTGGGCAGGGGTAGGAGGAGGAGCCGTCCCGCCATTTCGCGGCTCGCGGTGTGTGTGTGTGTGTGTGTGTGTGTGTGTGTGTCTGTGTCTGTGTCTGTGTCTGTGTCTGTGTCTGTGTCTGTGTCTGTGTCTGTCTGTCTGTCTGTCTGTCTGTCCCGACCACCCGTTAAACCTGCAGGCTTTCGCTGTGGGTCCGTCCCACCCAGTTCATCTGCAGGGAACCACTCACGCATTCTTACCACACGTCCCAGTGTGAGGCCGCCTCTCTGAGTCTCTATTCCTACCGGAGTGGGAGAAGGCTACCAGCAACACTTGGGTGCTATCCACTGTCAGTGTCGGCCATCTACCACTGGAAGCGAGGCCCGCCAGAGTTCACCGGCATAAGGCGCACTCCGGTGCCGTCATGTCCGGTCAAGGCGGGTATACTGCAAAGTTCAGGCTTAGCTGGACAAGTCCGCAATAGAGCGCATACCACCGGCGAGGAACAGGCGAGGTTTAGTTCCACGTACTTCCTCGTTCCAAAGAAAGACGGCGGGTTCCGTCCCATTCTCAACCTGAAGGGGTTGAATCGCATGTTAGAGGTTCCGTCCTTCAAGATGGAGACACTTCGCTCGGTGATCTCCTCTGTTCAGCCCGGCGATTGGCTTACGTCGATCGATCTAAAGGATGCGTTTCTACATGTGCCACTTCATCCCTCGTTCAAGCAGTACCCCCGGTTCTCTTATGATGGGATGGGTTACCAATTCACGGTGCTCCCCTTCGGCATATCCACTGCCCCCAGGGTGTTCACCAAGCTCATGTTAGTGCCGGCTACCCTTGCAAGGTCGCAGGGAAGTCGTTGTTACCCTTACCTAGACGACTGGTTGCTCAGCATTCTAACTCAGCCAGCGAGTCTAGATTCTACCCACACGGTGATAGACATTCTAGTTTGACTGGGGTGGATCATCAACCTCAAGAAATCTGACCTAGTACCCACCCAGGACTTGGCTTTTCTCGGGGCGCGGTTCACAACTCAACAGAGTCTTGTCTCTTTGTCGCCCGACCGGGTCACCAGAGTACGGGAGATGGTGTGTCGTTCCTCTCCCAGCCCCAGGCACCAGCGCGGATTTGGCTCCGTCTACTGGGTCATGTGGCGGCAACTATCTCTGTCGTGTGGTGGGCGCAGTTGAGGATGCGCCCTATACAGCAAGCTTTGGCGAGTCTGTGGGCTCACTCGGAGGATGTGGAGCAGTGTCTCACAG